AACTTTTAACTCAGTCAGGAGGAAAAAGCAATGCTTGGCCAATTTGGCTGGCTCAGGTCCTAGAATTGACAAACCATAGAAAAAGAATTTTGTGGTGGCAAACAATTCACCTTTCAGGTTCTTATTTTCGCTGTAGTAACTTCGTCATGATTTCTGGGAAGAGAATATAACAACATGCTCTCTTGTTTCTGGCTTGTGTAACAGCTGTTTCATTTTGATCCAGAGAGAAAGAGCTTATTTTCGTTTCTTTTAATTCATTGTCGTCAATGTACCCTTAAATAGCAACTCAAATTGCGTATTGATGACACGTCTTGACGTTAGCAAAAACTTAAGGACTAGCTAGGACTACCCGGAACTAAATGGTAGCCATTGAATTTGCTTGTGAACTCCTCAGTAAAAACAAACTGCTGGACAATGATCTAACTGCTCCTTAACCTACTGCAAGCTGCTCTTCACCAAACGAGGTTACGTTTTTATTTTGTTTTATCAGCTTACCACGTTTTATGCTTTTGTCTATTTGTTGAATACTCTAGGACATCCTCTTTAGCGACCTCTCTCCTAAAGAACAACTCGATTCACTAACATAAGTTTTTAAAAGCGATGACTAGACTGAGTTCTTCAAACTCACCAGGCTTTGACTCTTTACAAGACAGCCGGACGCCTTTCTAATATTGACAATCATCTACCCATTCCAAATGAGTTTGTCTTTTTTGACACCGAAAAAAACTCCAATCAGTCGTTTTTCTTCAGTCTCAAACGTTTTGAATCACTAAAGTGCTTAGTTTAGCTTTCACAAACTGATATTGCACGATCCTGGCACCTTTTTTTCTTGAGACTTGGAAGCAATTGTTTTGGAGAGAAACAAATTTCATTTCCACCCTATTTACCTGCCCCAAACAAGAGTTCCATCTCTATTTGAGATCGAGCTACTGACCGATATCTCTAGTCGATGAAAAACTTGAAAAAAACGTTGAGCTGCTATAATGATAGTGATGTTCGTCGCTCGCGGAGGCTCTTGTATGAATAATCTTTAAGTGTGAAAAATTCCACTTCTCTCAAGTCTTGGATTTACCAGACTGTAACAAAGCCGCATCAAATCAGAAATTGGACAAGGCTATTTATTTAATTGGCCAAGTCGTAAATTTTCTGTTTCACTGGTCGGCTTCATTTACGCTTATCCAGTAACCGCAAGGTAGTTGTAAGTCTATGTATAAAATCCTTAAAAGCCACAGAGTATGGTTAGTACTTTAATGTGATTCTGTTTAGTAGAAGAGCAATCTAACTTGTAATAACGAACCGATGAAGGCTTTGAGAAAATGAAAGAAATCTGCAGTGAAAACAACACCAATATGTTAATGGTGGCGGCGGTGGTGAGGGACTGCTGATATAAAGGCACTTCTCTCCTCGTCTAACTTACAGCGAAACCATAAGATGAGGAAGTTTTCCGAACGCAAGTTATTCATTTCGTCTAACAAATTATATCATGCACGTTCCTCAGGTAAAATCTTACTCCGTTCTTAGTGGCCATGCCCCATGCCGCCTCGGCCTTGCAAAAAGAAGATACCTTCGGTTTTAGTGAAACGAGCTTAATTAGTGAGTTTTTTCTAGGAGAAAAATAAATATAACGCTTGCTAAGTGGGCTAACTTATAAAAAACGTAGCCATCTTTGATAACCGTAAAATCCTCTTTTTCAGAATCCAGTGAGCAAGTGAAATCGTTTTCATCAGGAGCCGATTAATAGGCTCCTGGTTTTTATATAATAATCTAACAGACTTTCCACTTACGCTGGTACCGAAAATTAGCTCTTGAAGGTTGAAGCTTTGAAATGCACTCCTTAAATTCGTGGAAAACGCAGATATACAAATCAATGCTTAGTTCAGTAGCCACTGCTTGGGTAAAAACCCTAATTATGCCCGGGGGGGGGGTCTCAACAAGTTTTATTCGGGGAGGCTTCATTCCGAGGTCCTACCCCTTACCCTCTTATATACCATTTTTGGACCGAAAAGGTACCCCATCGTATCCTCTACTGACAAATGGTACCCCTTTCACATACCGAGTTTAGAACTTTGTATCCCTCTTTTTTGTCGACTTTTTCACAGCCATAAAATGCATCTGTCAGTTAGCCTTTTTGGGCTTTTTAAATTTTTTTTTTTTTTACAGATTTCTCTACTCTTTCATATAACTCCACAAGAGAAATCTCCACCCTCTCATATACCTGAAGCCTAAAAAGGTACCCCTTTCGGGCGGAGCCTCCCCATATAAGGCCATTATGGAGAGTAACCCCCCCGGAATCATGCCAAGCACCAAGGATGATCAGTGTTTTTATCTGGTCTGACAGGTCCAAAAAACATGAAATGATCGATTTGAATCAAAGCTTCCCAGTGATCGTGCCTTTTCAGTTTATATTTCAAACACTTTAAAAACGTGAATCATAGAAGCTGCGGTAAATTTGAATTTTAGTGACTCCAAGAGAAAGTAAAGAAGAAATCACGAAAGCGAGTAGAGCTTTGTTAAAGTTAAATAAAAGACTGTGTTCTTTGTTTCAAATGACAGATCCTCAGTAACAGTGTCTTTGTACGTTTCAACATGTTGCAAAAAATTCAGTTTGGAATTTGAAGTAAATTTTAATTTAAGTCCGCCTTGGGCAGGTTGGAGGAAATTTGTAAAAAGTCACGAAACACCCATGCAGCTGGAAGCCATTTAGAATTAGTATTAGCCTTTTGATGGTTTATCAGGTTTTTGAAAGAAGAGGTGAAATACCATTTTTCGTATACTTTCAGATGCCTTCAATTTATCTATGGCCTAGTTTCTCAGGATTACAAGCTACCCGGGGGGGAAGGGGTACTCCCTTATATAAGCCATATATGTTTGTGTCGCCCCAAAGGGTAGGGTTTTTAAGCCGTTTTGGTCTGAAAACGGGTATAAGCCCATTATTTGCTCGAATCGGCGGGTATGGTTTTCGAGGGAACTTCGGTAGTGTATGAACGTATTTATCGTTTCAATTCCAAATGTATGCAAATTCGAAATGTATTTTAGAAATCTTTATTTTTTCAGTGTTGGCGTTATAATCTAAGTAATGACGACATAATTTGTTAGACGCCAGGTCTGAAATCGGGTACGGATTTTAGAGGCCAGATCTGAAAACGGATGTGAAAAATGGCTTTTTTTGGTCTGACGTGGGGTCAGGATATGGAGAACCGGGCGGAACAACCCCAACACGAATTCCCAGGTGTAACCCCCCGGGAAAACTACTAATTGACCAATCACAATGACAGTGTGGTTTTCCGTTTTGAAAACGTCAGCCACTGAAACGAGCATTGTTTAGTTACCGGTCCAAACAGCAATAATCGTTTACTCGCTCTAAACTTATCAATATCTTCTGACGCACAAATAAATGCAAATTGAACAGCCTTTCCATCTGCGGAGATGATCGTGCCTATTTTCATGTCTAACGAACCTGTCTTTACGAAGAAAACTTGCAAACTCCCGCTGTTTTAGACGTAACTTTCAGTAACATGCTGCTCTATAATTTCTGCGGTTTTATAATGACTAAGTGGTTCTATTCTATAATAAAGGCCTATCAATACAAGAAGATGACTGTCTATTTAGCATGCTAACAGAGGGGGTAACGAGAGCAATATGGCGCCATGGAACTTGCGAGATATTTCCTAGAAGAATACTACGACTCCACAGAAACGTTTTTTGTAATTAGTTTAATCAAAAGACATACCGACACAAATGTGAAAAAATATCTTTTGTTTTTTATTGAGGTAAAGAGAGTTAAGGAAAAATTTATTGCCAATATGTCTCTATGGCACGCAGCTCTTTGACGTCATGATGACGTCATTGTGGATGAGTAAAGTCATATATATGCAAAACAGGTTGCAGAATGTGCTTCTGTTAATGACTTAATCACTGAGAGAAATAAAAAGAAATGTCCTCACGATCCCACTGCCATTCAGTTAGTTTAGCTTTGAATACATAAATTAATGTTATAGCAATTTTTACTGTTCTGTTCTGTTTTCGTGGTTTTAGCCGTTTACGACACCCACCCCAATTCCCGAGCTGAACTGCACCGGTCAGAACCCAAACGATTAAATTTGAATTTTATGTCCAGAGAATAACGCGATTGGCTTTTAGACAGGCAAATTAGCAGATGGTTGGATGATTAGTTCACTCGGCATCAATCGAACCATAAAACAGTCAACAATTTCCCAACACTCAACCGACTGATTCCATAAATAGGATATATATTTAATTGAGAGAGAGTCAGCTGTAGTAGGTTTTAGAGTTTTCGCGGCTTTTGTCACCAAAATAACTTGTCAATTTATAGTTAAGGGAAGTACATACGTCAAAAGGAAATATTCCTTGTTCCTTTGAGGTAAGTTCTTGTCTTTTCCTTTATAGATATAATTTTACGCGAAACTCCGCTTTAGTTTCAAAGAAAAGCAGGAGGTTTTTTTGTGAAAGATGCCATCGCCGTACATTCCTGTGGGAATGTTTCGTTTAAACACATTTACACAATGTGTTTCATTTAAACACATTTATGATGTAGGCATCTTAGTTGAGCAGCTTACTGCTATAACTTTTGACAAAAAGTTTTGAAAGAGTCTTAGTCGTCATCTATATCAATGGTTTGGATCACTCAGATAGCAATTTCATACGTCTGACAACAGGTTTTTTTTAATTTTTTTTTTCAAAGGCAAAATAAAAAAAATTGAATTTGGCAATGATAACACACATAAGCTACCCACCGGCATATCAGCTTGCTTATCAGTGACTTTAGACTTGCAGTACAGTGCGTGCGAACACTGGTCACATGTCAAAGTTCATATTCTCTCTAGTATGTTACTAGTCTCTACGCACAGCTCATTTGACAGCTATGCTATTCTGCTCATTATTAGCCTTGGTGTTGATTACACGAGTCAATAATTTTCCTTTTGAATATTCTGTTCCGATCCGTTTGGCAGGAACAGGTGTTGCCTGAAGTTTCCAACGCGATTTGCATTTCCGGGAGAGGTAGTCAAGCGGAAGTGAGGTCTGCTGAATCACGTGGACACAAAATAATGGCGGACATTCTGCTGCTACAAGCAGGCGACTGCTGCACAAAAATGGCATGAACAAGATGGCGTGGAGAAGATCATATGTTTTTACTCCGCGGGTGGAAGAAAGTGAGATCGATTCATCTGATGAAAGTGACAGTGAAGTTGGAACAGAAACGCTTAAGCTGTATCATCGGCGAAAGTCTACAGTGACTGCCGTAAAAGCGCGGGTAAGGTTCATATGAATCACACTATATATGTTGCACAAATATTTCCAAACGGCTAAAATGCACGACGTTTCTTGAAATCGTGTACCATGCTACCTTTTCGTACTTCTTAGAAATCCCCTCTGGGATTATTTACAAGCTTTGGTCTTCAAATGCTTTAACCCTAGAATTATTAATTTGCAGTTTTGTTGTGTTTACAAAACAGCCAGTTTGCTGAGTCTCGTCATCAGCCATCAGCGAGCAAATCATGCTTTTTTTCTTGTTGGGGTAGATTTACTCTACATCAACGGCAAATATTTTGTTTCTTTATGTTATGCGGGAAGAAGACCTAATTGCAATTAATATGTTTCAGTAATCTATTTTGGTTTTAATTTTCTGTCTGCTGACTTTTCACCCGTCGAGATCGACTTTCGGTCTGGCAAAACATTATAAACATATAAATATTAAAACTCATATTCCCGTTTGATAACAGTTGCCTTGAAACGGTTTCTGAGTTTGCTTTATTATTCAAAACCTCCCTTAATGCTGAAGCTGTTGTTTTTCGCTTGATTACGACACGTATGTCAACCCTCTATAAATTTGACTATATTCGCTCGGATGATTGTAATGTTCTTATCTTGTAAATTATGCTTTGAGGATTTTCCATTCATAAAAGGAAAACGGCCTTGATAAATCTTTTTATAATTCTTTTATTGGTCGATGTTAAGAACCGTGTTCCTAAATTGCGCCCGCATTTCTAGCAGTGAATTCGAGTCGGCATAGCTTGTAATTTCTTCAGCTGTTTCTTGGCTTGGAAATTTTTTATTAGCGAAGCGTTACTATTCGGCATTAATTATGCACCTGTAAGCTCGTGGGGAAATTTTTTGAATAGCTACTGTTGCTTGTGTTTTCGTGTCACAGCCGGTTGAACCTTCTACCTTGTAATAACTGTCCAGAATGTTTTTTTTTTACATGGAAAGGCTTTTAGTAAATCGGGGTTTGTTCTCCTGCAGCGAGAGTTTTGATGTCGAACGCTCGTCAAACGGTTTCTTTAGATTGTTTGCTTTTGAATCATTATTTTGACACCACTTGATTGCATATTTAAATCAACCACTGATAAATGAACGTGTTTTTCTCTTATTCCTGATCGAACAAGCTGAAACCGTGCCTCTCCCTTATGGTAGACTTCGCACTAAAAGAGGTCTTGTTTTAATTTTTCTTCCGTTCATAGCAATAATATATTGCTCGTTATTCTGGGAAGTAACATTTCTCTCTTTGCTTTACCATGCGTTAACACATAGGCAACTTGTATGTCAATTGCAGAACCTCATAAAAGAGGGATTTTTGTTAAAGCAAACGGGATCTTTTCAGGTAAGTTTTGTATTTACTGGGAAGAAAATGAACCACAACCTTAAGTAACATTGTTGTGATAAGAACATTGCAGTGAATTGTCAATGTAAATAAAACTTATCCTTGAAATTATATTTCTTTGTTTTCATGTAGCAAAGAAAGATAATAATTAATTTAAATGTCTCTTGCAGTGGTTATGACAAATTGTTTCATTTGGCAGTTGTGGCAAAAGTAGGGTAGTTTAACAACAAAGTTTGGAAAAAATACCAACTGTGACAAAATGATGAATATATCTAATATAGGTTCCCATCTTTTTTTTCATATTGTCTGCTGCTTTTTGTTAATAATTTATGTTTCTTCTCAATCAGAATTTAACTCAGAGTTAAGAGGGAAATTTTTGAAATTCGCTGTTGGAGGTGAAGTTTGAAAGAAATATTGTAAACAACATTCTACTGTGGTGAGGGTAAAAGGGGGAATGAGTTTGCGGAATGGCATGTGGCATGGCTTGCAGAATGACATAATTATGCGGAATTTAATATACGCAGCTGAATGATCCAAAGAAATAAATTAAACTGAAAAGAGCTCCCTTTTTTGGCGCCAATCAATTTGCAAATGCAGCCGCTGTTTTAATTTTGCAGGCTTAACATATGATGACAATCAAAAAACCACAAAGGCTCATTGTCGACCAGCCTTTTCTGCACAGCCAAAAAGATTCTTCGTCTATTGAAGAAAAGATGTTTTCGAAGGTCACACTCCCTTCTACTTTAATTTTTTCCTCAAAAGATGTTTGTACGCTTAACTTAACAGTTTCTTGTTACCTATATTTGTAATCGAAACCATGTGAGAAGTGTTTCTTTATGAGACTGGGTTACGTGATCGTGACATAATTGATAATATTATTCAGAGATGCATCGAACCTTGTATGTTTTGTCAGCTACGAGCTTGAGATGTGCGAAACAGAAAAAATCGACCAAAATCTTAATTTCGTGGCAAGAGTTGAAAAATCAATTTCGTTCATTTTTGTTCGTAGATAGCTTTTAGGTTATATAAGAAACCTAACATAGATTGTTCCCACTGAAAGCCTTTTATTCGGGAGAAAAAATAGAAGATCGGTCTTCGATGTTGGAGTCTCAGACTGCATTAATTTTTAACCTGAAATTCGCTAACATCAACTTTCCTCGCAATCGCAAACGAAACTGGATGGATAAATTTGGACACTTTCCACGAACAGAAAAATTCTTTTCCTTGCACTAGAAGATACTTTCTGGACAATAGGGAAGCTTGTCGTACTGAAATAATTTTAAAAATGAGGGATAGGTTTTCAGGATAAAAAAATTTCAGTTTGTTACTCATTTTCGACGGCAATATTTAACATGTGGTATAACTCCAAATTCTCTTCTTGCTATTTAAATCACGTGCTATTTAAATCACACATTTAGACATTCATTTAAAACATACCTGGGAATTGGCTTGGTTAAGTGAAGGAAATCTCTGTAAGACACCATCGAAGTTCACACTTCCAATTTCGAAAAGCACATAAATAGATATTTACAGCCCAATGGCTTGTTTTTCGTATGTCTTGTAGGTTTTCCCTTTGCAAAATTGCTTTTTTCAATCAAAGAATGGGGTAAAAAGGTGAAACTGGGTCAATTTTAGCCATTATGAAACACTGAAATTTACCTGCGGGCGACTCTGCGTGACAGTCTGTTCCGTGACTGCACGTGGCACAACGTACGTTGGAAGAGACAGAGCTGTCAAAATCACAGTCACGAAATCAAGGCAGTAACGCAACGTAATTCTTGATTGAAGGAGTAACACTTTCGGTGCCGACAGTATTTTGAAGAAGCAAAAAATCAAATGCGCAAGTATTCTGGTACTCACTTTCTATCAAAAAATAAGGACTTTAACCATGGCAATTCGCTAAGAATAACGGAAAAAGAAGATATTTCGTCTTGTTACTTTACAATCGAGGTAACTAAGTTATTTCGGTCAGGCCTCACTATATTTACCGGACTTCAATGTTTTCGTTTGGAGGCTGCCTTCAGGAACCCTAGCCAATTCTTGGGTATGTTTTAGATAAATGTCTAAATGCGTGAACCAGTAAAGCTTACTCAAATTGGCGCCAAAAAAGGCGCGGCAATGACCCGCGCATGCCTTTCAGTTTAGTTTATTTCTTTACACCACTTTCCATATTTTACATTCCGCATAATTATGTCATTCCGCAAGCCATGCCACATGCCATTCCGCAAACTCATTCCGCCTTTTACCCTCACCGATTCTACTGTTCTTTATTATAATTCCTTTGCCAAACTTGGAAATGGTGGAAAAATCGTACAGTCAAAACTAAAATCTGCATTTAATATTCTTATCTTAACTGAAAATAACAGTAGCTTCTTCTTTTAATGACAACAAAATCTCTTGAATTTGATAGGAATTAAACAGAAAGGGCTTTGTTGTGATGTATTCCTGGTATCTGTGCGCTCATAAAGATACAGATGTACTTAGTGTACTTGTTTATAATAATTACTCATTTTTATTAATCTGAGCTGTTTTAACATGTGAAACACTGATACTGTGTTTTATGTTACATGCAATTAAATTTTTTTATTTAACTTATTGACGAGCCCTCTGATCTGGAAGGTTTGCTGAATTTCCAGGAAGACACAATATTATGTGGCAGAAAAGGTGTATTATGTGGCAAATTATGAGATTTATTTGGATGAGATTTCACGTAGAGTGCTTACTGTCATAGACTCACAACAATATTAAAAATTTTAGAGGTTCTGTCTAATGTTTCTATAAGTAATAGTCTTAAATTAGAATTTATTTATGATTTTGCATTCTTTGTCAATAGTAACAACAACAACAAAATGACAACAACAAAACTTTATTAATAAACAAATAAAATTACAAAAGTATTGCCCGGAGCTAGCAAGGCTATTTGAGGCGGACAATGTGTGCAAAATATAGGAAATAAGGAATAAGGCTATTAACGAAGGAAAGTTTACAGTTTACCAATAAATGAAATAAATATTGTAATATGGATGAGGACTAGATAACAGACTAAAGGGAAAAGAATTTAAAAAAATAAATTGTAAAAGTAGAAACTAAGAAGCAAGAATTTTTTTTTTGACATTTTTGGTTAATTTTACCTTTTTAATTACGGTGGGCGTATCAATATAGTCATCTCCTGAGTTCAGAATATCGAAAAGTAATTTGCGGAGTGTTTTTTTGAACTTATTCTTGGGGAGATGTCAAATGTTACAGGGTATCTAATTTGGCAGCGTAACTGGAACTGTTAACATGCTCTTGTATTGTAGTAGTGGCAGCTACTTGTTTTTTGTAACAGTCTAACCTCTCCTTATGGACACCTCTATAATACGGACACCTCTCTATTATGGACAGTTTGTTTGGTCCCAGAAATGCCAAAAATCACACATTCCCTACCTCTATAATACGGATACCTCTGTAAAGTGGACAATTGGTTCTGTCCCTTTGGTGTCCGTATTAAAGAGACTGTGTTGCTATTTCCTGGGTTATGCGATTGGATACAATTTGATTTCAGTTTTGTGAAATCACACCATCACCTAACACCAGGAGCTCTCTTATTTATTTCATCAGCAATTTATTTTGAATTTCTCCTTGTAAAAGAAAAACTCAGGGTTCTCCCTAAATTTTACCTCAGCAGGTAAGGGGCCATTCATGGCCGCTGAGGCAAAAAATATGTGCTAGAGGCGCACTTTCCTGTGGGAGGGGGGTTAGTGGAGTGAGGGACATGGCTTTGACTTTGCTGTCAAATTTAGGAGCTATAAAGTTCTCTCAAGTGTCATTCCCTCTTTTTAAGACCTATTTTACGCAAATCAGCCTTTGTTATCTTATGACAACGATTTAAAATGTTTGATTCCAATAATTTCTTCAATGCTCTCTTCCTAAAATGCGTGGCCCATAAAAAGGAGAGCTGTGTATACCTTAGTACTCCTCCACATATTCATTCATTACCTTAATGGTATCCGGTCACAATTTGCGTATTTTTTAAAGCAACTTATTTAACTTTAGTAAACCTTCAAGCGGTTGCAGGCGGTAAGAAGTGTTGCTAGGGATATAATTTTGTGTGTTGAAAGTCTGTGTTTTTAACTTAAGTGATAAAATTATTCCTTTCTGTACGGCAAAACTAGCTTTTGCTTTTTATGTAGACTGTAGACAGCAAATTAGGATCATTTATTTAAAGTCTCAGTACAATCAATGAGGCTTGTGGACCGGGATTCTGAAGCTGTAGATTTGTAAGGGTGTTATGCAGCATAATAATGCTCATATAACATTTATTCAATTGCTAATTATTTGTGTTCATTTTTTCACTTTAGAGATGGAAAAGAAGATATTTCAAATTGAGAGAAGGAAACAAGTTATATTATGCAAAGTCCAGTGATGTAAGCATGGCTTGAAAAATAATTGTTTGTTTTGTATGATTCTTTACATAGTTACTGACAGGTTATTGTAATCATTTTTAGGAAACGATATTCACTGAAATCGACCTGCAGGATTTCAGTGTGGCAGCATGTGGCATTGAAAATAAAAACAATTCCTTTACGGTAAGCATAATAATATTATTATTTAAGTTGAGTCAAAACTCTTATGAACGAACAACCTCAAGACCAGATGCAGATGTTTGATTATAAGAGCCGGCAGCCGGTGAAATCTGCTGGCTGTTTCACGCGAACTTGCAGCCTACTTTCTTTGGAAATTTCCCCGGTTTACATAGAGTATTCATGTGCTGTCACTGAAAAAAAAGCCAAACTTTAATGATGTCTGTGTTCTGTTCAAACAGTCTAATTTTTGCTCCAGAATGCTGGAAATGCATTCTAACAATTTTCCATAAACTCGCACTCGCAAGTTGCACCTTTGCCGCGAGTTTTGTCCTTCTCCACCCACTTCGGGATCCAAAGCCTTACTTAAAATCTTATTGAAAACCCTGGAGCTGGTTTGCAAGAGGAAATGATGTGACGTGGAATTCAAAGTGTAGTAACATTAGACCATTATTCACATAACTCACTGAGTAAGGCATTACCTTATGAATGGATGTTACTCTCCATCTCACCTGGAGGGTTTTAGCTTGGTTAAAGAAAGCCTAATTATTTACCCTCAGGTCTTTGTGTGGTGATTTTAAATTTAATGCAACCTTGTGTGACCGACCACCTTTTGTAAGCAAGCACCTTTTTAAAACACAACAACAAGTTTATTCAGTATTACCATTTCTATTAGTATTACCGATTCAAATACAAAATTAATAAACAGATAGAGTTAAGGAGATGCGATATGGTATAATAAATATTATTATTGTTTCTTTTGTCTTTCAAATGTCTGAAAAATGAAATTAGTTGTTGTTAGCCTGCTGATATGCGAAGCAGTATTGTTGAAAAGAAAACAGACTTTATCATTTGTAAATAATGTATTTTGTTTGTTGATTTTAATAAAAAGAGCCTTTCTCAAGGTCACAGTAAAATAATACGTGCATTTCATTTGCAACTGAATTTAGACTGCAGTGATCACAAATTCTAAGATCTTCAGGAGTTTTGAGAATTCTAATAATTTATTATTCTTCCATTTTTCGATTTCTAAGTTATACGATTTCCTATCCTAAATTTGGAGGTGATACAGTTGTGTTCAGGATTCCGGATATGAACACTGCGTCGGATCTAAGTGGTGTTCGGGGGGTTGATCGAACCCCCTAAATTAAAACAGCTGTGTCAAGAACTTGTAAATATATAAAATGATACAGTCAATCTTAAATGCAATGTATTCATAACTAAGTTAAGCCTCTGCTGCTCAATACAGCTAAATAGTTTTCTCCATTTTTGGGTTCAGTGACATTTTCCCTAACATTAACCATTTGCTGTGAATTGCTTGTACTATGCCAGTCACTTCAGCCTGACAATGAGCAAGAAAAAAGTACAGCTTTTAAGCTTGTCAAAGGATATTTACTCACCACCATGACAATGGAAAGACTGTCAGGCTGATGATGAACATTTATTACGAAAAGCCCATTGACTACGATGCTGTGGTTCAGCTTTTTGTGGAAAGATACCAGAGAATGCTTCTTGTTGATCCCGTCTTTGACAAAGCACAAAATTGAGAATAGATAAAATTAATGGAATATATTTTTACCATAGTTATGCAAATTTGCATCATTGTTACGCAGCTTTGAGTTATATTTTCACTTTAAAAAAAAGGTATTAAAACATGCTGACTTTGCCTCGGAATGGCAGAAATGGCGCCTCCGAGGAGATGAAATTTCAAAACTTTTCGTTGGAGGATTCCCCTGGACCCCCCTACAAGTTGGCCCCCTTTCATCAAACCTCTTATGCTAAAAACCTGGATCTGCCCCAGGAACACTCAAATTTTCCCTGTTAAAGTCTTGGAGTTAGAACCTTGTGTCTATGAACCACTCTGGTACAGACTTGCCAACCCTTCGAAAGGCAAAAAATGTGAGATTCTGAACCTGGAGAAATCTAGAGCTGGGAAAAGTAGTGAGAAATGGGTAAAAAGTCGTGAGATGTCCCAAATTTCCTTCAGGGGGAACTTCCAGCGGGGATTGTGGGTATTGGAAGTCACATATCACCTTAAAGCTGCAGCAGTAAACATCACGATCAATTTTGCAATTTAGGTTTTGTAATTTCTATGTTTTGTTGGCGGTCATCTCAAAAAAGAGAAACAGTAAGTCTGCACATTTGGTTGCAGAATGGTGCACATTTGGTGCGCATTTTTTTTTCAATGTCACATTTGGCTCTCGAATAAGCACAGCAGCGCTAATTTACGTATTTACAAACAACCTCCTTACCTTTGTTATGGCGCTTGATATAAAGAGATATCAAAACCATATTGCTTGAGAAAAAGACCACGACCAACTCATGAGTTGTAAAGTTTTAAGGTAGGGAAACTGTCACAGTGAGGCTGAGAAACTGCGTTCATGATACCTCTTGTATTTCATTCGAAATAATTTAATATTAAATTGTGCATGGCTAGTACCCACCTCACTTAATTCTCTCTATATTCCCTTCAGTGTTTTACCCATAGTTGAAATAAGCACCACTCTAGAATAAGTGCTGCACCTTTAACAGGTAAAATTGGTTGGTTGTTTATGGGAAGTTTGACTGTAATATTGTTGATTTTATGTAATGACATAACTAGATAATATTAAACTGTACCATTCACTTGTTGCAATTCAGTTTTTGTTTGATGTAGAATTTTTGACGGCTTTTTTATATCAAATGGTGGACTCTTGTTTTTCATTTTACCATGTTCCCACCAATAGAGTAGCCCCACATTTTGCTGTACTGTGTGTAAACCACCACAATTCTTTGGTTGGCTCAGACAAAGAGTAGCAATCAAATTTAACATAACACCACCATGTATCCATTTGATTTGTTGTGGGCTCCTCTTGTTGCCCGCAATCCTAATCTCGAGGTTGTTATTACGCATGTGTCGCATATATGCAGCCAGCATTCATTTGAACTTCCACTAAGATTGAATGGAATGCACAGAATGCAATTTGATCATGTGCATTTTGACCTTCTATCACTTGTAATCTGATCACGTTTGTTTTGACTATCTGTCAAGTGAAACTTACTCAAATTAAAGAACAGTAATGGAGCAAAAGTGTTTTGACCTTCGGTCATTGGACCGCGCACACTTCGTAACCTTTGGTTATTACTAGTTATATGTTGGAGTGTTTCGTTTCCTCCAGGTCATTACAGGTTTGCAGAATGTCAATCTCAGTGCTGACACACGAAAGGAAATGGAAGAGTGGATAACTGCTTTGAAATCTGTTGGCTCAAAATCATCTTCAGTAAGCTATCCCAACCTTGCTGGAATGCGATGTTATATGATAATGATAATGATGTTTTTGCAATGTGCACTGCAGCCCCTCGCCATCCCTGCCACACCCATAAGACCCTTGGCACTGTAGGGATCCCATTCCTGTCCAATCTGACAGGGTTTTCAATAAGAGCCGACAGCCGGTGAAATCCACTGGCTATTTCACATGAACTCGCCGCCTACTTTTTTTTGGACATAACCGCAATTTTCACAAATAAAATGATTTAAACCGGGTACTGAAACAACCAATGGTTCATAGCTATTAGCAAGAAGAATTAAATTTAAAAAAAATAGAGTACTCATGTGCTGTCACTGAATAAAAAAGCTAAAATTTAATGATGTCTGTGTTCCATTCAAAAACTCTAATTTTTGCTCCAGAATGCTGGAAGTGCATTCTAAGAGGCCCGAACCTCCCTAGGAACTCGTGCCTTTGGTGGGAGTTTTTCCCTTCTCCGCCTACTCCAAAGCTTTTGCCACCTACTTTAAAACCTTGTTGAAAACCTTGTCTGAAGAATTAGTCCTGTGCTACTCATTGTTGTTTCTCTAACAATTCACTTGTCCAACATGGCTGATCCAATTTGGGGAAATTTGTCGCCAGTGAAGTCTGTTGAAAGTTGATAATTAGGCTCTCAAGCCCTGGTTAAACAGTGAGGGGAATTATGTGCTACATGTCATGAACTAGGGGGCTGGTTATTTATTACTTGTTGCAGAGGGTGGGGGTGGGGGGGAGGGTGGCCATTTTGCTGGGGGTCATCTTCAAAATAGCAATAATTAATAACTATTGGATTTTGGCAGGTCATTCTCAGGTAAGGAAGCGTTTCCTGGGGGGTCATTTCAATAAATTTCATGAAAGTATTACAAAGCCATGCTGACAATGAATGTGTAACAGCTGTAAATAGTAAACACTGATTTTATAAACAGGACTGTAGATAAAGTATGTGGTGAACTTTAGGCCGATTTATAGCTAGAATATTCGTATTCTCAAAAGCAATAGGGTGAATGAGGGGGCTTACCTTACTATAGGAAATTAATGCTCCATGAAATTAGCGCGAATCGTTAAACTTCGCGTTAAATTAAGTCGCGTTAATTTTGTTGAGTGTTAATTTCCGCGACGCTAATTAAGTGCAGCGTTAATTTCCGCGCTCTTAATTTCCAGTATCTTAACCCCAATTTTGGAACCTGTCCAGACATTCTTGACGCCTAAAAGACATTAACTACAAGCTTTCTTTCTTTCCATTTACCCTTTATTTTTCATCTTTCACAAAAGCTAGGGCGAAGGTTTACAATATTTCGAGTTCATCTTCATCGTTGTCGCTATCAGAAGTGAGGCCAATATCTTATCCTTTGATTTCGCGTAATTAATCGCGTTAATTTCCCTTATTATGAAATTCTACCTCCTCACAACCAAGCCTCTAGGGAAGTGAAGGTGTCCCCTATCAAAAAACTGACTTTGCTGTTTTTATTCTTGTAGCAATCAGACCTGTTAGACAGATTGTCTGGTGCGCACAACTGGTATTCATGTTCCCATGCAAAGCCAACCTTTTGTAACGTTTGTCGGGATGTGTTGTCTGGCGTCACATGCAAAGGATTGTCCTGTGAAGGTAATGACGTACACATGCAGTGTAGAGTTTATGAATACAGAAAGAAATGAAGCAAATTGATGTCTTATGAGTGCGCTTTTGAAATTCTGATAAAATAAAGCTGAACAGTTTTCATCCATTTTCATAGGCTAAATAATCCAAAGTGAAAGTGACAACCACAGATATGTTTATCAAGACCTTATAAAAGCAGTCTTATCTTCTTCAGCATCAAAATACTTCTTGAAAAAATCTGTGCTAATGTTGATAAAGGAAAGTCAGAAATACTAAGAATAAAGGACTTGATCACACAAGATAAATTATATGTTCACTTTTATTTAAATTCGCCCACTGCTTCAATGGGAACTGTATGGGGACAGCAAATGAAAATTTAAATTTTGATAATTATTAGGTATATATTGGGCTCAAAAGCTCTAGCCCTAGCTGGCTGAGGGCTGGAGATTTCCTTCAGCCACTATGAACATGATCCCGGGCTACTTTCATAGAAAACAAAAGTCAGGGGCACCCAACGACAATTTTCGGAAAATATCTGTTTGGAAGACGATTTGAGATCTAGAATTTTCGGAACATTTGTTGTAAAATTTCTTGCTTGCCTACCTCTCCTAGGATTTTCGAACATCTAAAAAATGGTATATTTTCCCATTTTTAAAGGATGTTTACCTTTAAGAGGTCACCTAGAATTTTCGGGAGCCTTTTTTCTGGCTGAAATTTTCGAAAAGGTAAGTTTTGATCCCTATAATTTTCGGATCACTAGACTTTCAGCTACGAAATCCGAACAGATGAAAAATTTTTAGGGGATAAAAATATGCCTATATCTACCGTTTAAATACTAAAATACGTTTAACAATGCTACGTTTTAGTGGTTTGAAACTATATTCTCGTTGGGTGCCCCTGAAAAGTAATGAAAGATAGGACCAACCGATCAATTCCCTGCATACTTTATTGACAGTCTTGTTGGCCTTTCCCCTTCTTGCTGGGAAGTCAGAAGTCCCTCCTCTCCCCCCCTCCTTTTGGAGTCTGTTTTTGTGTAATCTCTGATTGCTAATTCGCAAAATGTTTTTTGTCAGTTTGTAGATTCAAAGTTCACAGACGGTGCGCTGTTCGAGCAAAGAACAACTGCAAATGGACAACAGTACAATCACTCAAGACAGAATTAGAGAACTTTGATGAAAAAGATCCTGTAAGTCAACTTTTTACTTTTTAATAATATTATTGGCATATTTCTCTCTCCTTGTGTTTTTTGAGATGACTTGTATGATTCATACCCTTTCATTACCTGTAGTGGTAAAAGTGAAAATGCACAATTATAATTCAAATTTCTTGTTATTGGGAAATCCTGAGAAATAAGTAGCAGCAAGCAAAAGTTCTGCCAAAGAGATCATTTCATTTGAATGGTATCACCATCGGTTTTTATCCACAAACTCAAAAGTTAGAACTACATACTAAATAAATAGTACCCATGTGAAAGTACTGCTGAAGAGGTTTCATTTGAATGGTAACACCATAGGATTTCATCCACAGACTCAAAAGTCAAAACTACATACTAAATAAATAGTACCATGTGAAAGTACTGCTGAAGAGATTTCATTTGAATGGTAACACCATAGGATTTCTTCCACAGACTCAAAAGATAGAATGACCAACTCTCTCTCAATAACCTAGTCTATGAGGGAGGGTTAAGAAAAAAGTTGACAACAATTATTTTCCATGGTGTCGTGTACTCTTGCTGACCTGCATTTATTTATAGAATGACTTCAAGATGTTCAGACCTCAAGTGGAACCACTAGGTGCAGGCAAGTGGTTTCACTGCAAAGTTTTGAACATTTTGAGGTCATTTCTTCATTGTATGGGTGATTAGAGAATAGACCATGCAAAGTTGTTGTCAATTTGTTTTTGCAATAACATTGATAATTTTTAACCTCCATTTCCATTGTAGTGTCTTGTAAAATTGCATGCTTGAAAAAGAGAAAAACAAATGATGTGTCACCACCATGGCATTTCAATGGTCCATGCTTTTATTGACCATAGCTCTTGACCAATCGCTGTGTGATATGTTGTTCAGTTACTGTAAAATGCTCTTTCTTTCTCAAAATTATTTTTGTTGTTTCCAGCTCTCTACACCACACCAGTGGTTGGAGGGAAATCTCCCTGTGTCAGCCAGATGTAGTGTGTGTGATGAAGTATGTGGCAGCAAAAGACGACTTCAGGGATTTAGATGTCTTTGGTGTAACATGATGGTAAGTAGAGAAAGACTTGAGAGACTAACTTTTTAACATACTACAGGGTGCTTGGAAAAAAACAAACAAACAAAAAAGACACTTGACTTCCAGCTTGTCCTTTGGGCAAGCAGCTCTCACCTCTTGCTTGCCTGGGGCCTCTTCTTTACTTGTCTTAGTTAACAACGAGCTTAAGCGATCGTGTTTTTGAGCAAAGGACATCAACCGGAAGTGGACTTTTTCCATCATTGGGCAGTGGTTTGGTTGAAACTCTCGGGTAAATTTTCTTTATAAGAGAAAAGAAACTTAGCAATACAAATTTGTTAGCGTCAAAGCATATAAAAAGGGAGAAGGCCTCACGTCCAGTTAATGACGTGCATCACTCAAAAACGTCTTTGCTTAAGCTCCTTAATGATCTCATTAGAGGATGACGTGCTTTAAAGGTTACTGCCCCACAAAAAAATCTATTAGTCCTGGACTAACCGAAGGGACTTTTTTTCAAGCCCCGATACTAGCCATGGTCTATTAACACTTTAAGCCCCAACATCAACAAACAAATTCTCCAGACTGATCTCCACATATTTCCCTAAAAATAACTTAAGGGAATTTGTTAAAGGATCAAAGCATTTTCGCTATGGTGAACATTTCATGAATTCTCATAACTTTTTCATTTGGTTATGTATTTATATTGTTAGGAGAGAATTCATGTCGGTCACTGTTGGGGCTTTTAAAGGGAGATCTACTAACTAGATCTACTAACTAGCAGGGGCGCCCAACGAGAATATAGTTTAAAACCACTTAAACATAGCGTTGTTGAACGTATTTTAGTATTTAAACTGTAGATATAAGCATATTTTTCATCCCCTAAAAGTTTTCATCTGTTCGGATTTCCTAGCTGAAAGTCTAGTGATCCGAAAATAATATTATAGAGATCAAAACTAACCTTTTGGAAAATTTCAGCCTGAAAAAAGGCTCCCGAAAACTCTAGGTGATCTTTTTAGGGTAAAAATCCGTTAAAAATGGGCAATTATTCCATTTTTTAGATGTTCGAAAATCCTAGGAGAGGGAGGCAAGGAAGAATTTTCATGACAAATGTTCCGAAAATTCTATATCTCAAATCATCTTCTGGACAGATATTTTCCTAAAATAGACGTTGGGTGCCCCTGAACTAAGGATGTATATGACACCACAAGTTCTTTAATGTATTCTTACAGGTACACCAGTCTTGTCGGTCTCAAACTCCTAAGTGCTCATATGGTGAAAATGCTCTCTTCACATTACCACCTGTGTCAGTCTGGAGTAATGCTGGCTCTCTTTTGTGGAATGTAAGTAAACAGTGTTGTTGGGGCTAATCCAGCAGGGGACACCTAGGGTTTATCATATAAGTGAGAATTCTATGACATTATCTGTTATGATTTAGTGATATTTTTCATTTTTGGTGATGCAGTAGATATACAAGTAGAGTTACTGTAAATGATCTCATAGATGCTCAGGGTATTTTTCTTTTTTGGGGGTCCAAGAGGGGTATTTTAAAGTAGATGGGAGTTGTTTTAAAGGGAGGGGCGTTTGTTCCCATAACTTTAGCATGCAAGCTCAACAAATCTAATATGCTTTCGGAGAAATTTGATATCAAAAAAGGTTTACAATAGCAAAATATCCAATTCATCCATAGATATTATGTCTAGGCTGTCTGGAGATCCATATCACTCTTTCAAATCTCAACCTCAATATCAGAATCTTTATTCAGTGTCATTACACTGTCATTGTTAGCCTATCCTTTCTTTAAACATGAAATTAAACAAGGCGCAATGCACAAACCTTTGTTAATCATTCTTAAACTGAATAAATGATTTGCTCTTTCCTGCTTTTCCTAGTATTTTGGAGTAAGTTTTGTTCTGTGCTCTTCTTGCATGATTCTGATTTCCTAATTTTAAGAATGGCTCCTAGCCTATTGCTTGCAGGGCTTATAACTGGGAGGGAAAGAAGTTTTAACTGATTTTATAAATGATTTCGCATTTTCATTACCTCAGGTTAGACCATCTGGCTGTCTTCCAATGCTTGTCTTCGTTAATTCTAAAAGTGGTGATAATCAGGTCAGTAACTTAAGTATTTGATTAATAAAGTAGTCTTTGGAGATAAATCAATATGCAGTCAAAATACCCATCTGTGTGTTATATCACATGGTTTTACTGCAACGGAGAGTGCATGATATCACATGGTTTTCACTTGAAAAAGGGGCATGTACTGTGGCTTACGTGAAAATGAGGTGGATTTGGAGGACAGAGAAAGTAATGACACTTCTTGATTTTGTCACACAATGAAGTGCTGCCAGTACAGTCAACCCACTTTATAGTAGACACTGCAGGCTCCTTGAGTTAGTGCCCTCATTGATGAGAGTCTGTAACAGTGGGAGTTTATTTCAGTCAAACTTCTCTAATTTATTTTTGCCTGGGATTTAGCTGCGGTCCATATTATCAGGGTGTTCGTTATCACCATATACCCACTATTCTTGTTCTTACCAATGCAGAGGTGAATCAACAGATGGATTAAATTTCTTGTTTTTAAAAAAAGAAACAGTCTCATTATGTTGTCAACTCCTTTCAGTTTCCATAAAGTTTGACCTATTGTGATGACCTTTTATTTTCATGATTTGTTTTCTTTTCAGGGTGTTAAATTTATTAGAAAATTCAAACAATTGTTAAATCCTCTTCAAGTTTTTGATCTAGCAATGGGTGGTCCTTCAAAAGGGTGAGTTACAGCATTTCTGTGTATTTAGTGTATGCATTTTTCTGTGGCAGAATCCAGATGGTGAAAGGGGGGGTGCAACCATGCAGATGTTAAGGTAGGAAGGGGGGAGGGGGAGATGCATATCCAGACTTTGAGTTGAAAAGGAGGGACTCATTTAGACCTTTAGATGAGATGGGGGTATTCAATATTCTAGAGGGACACAATAAAGGTGTGAAAAGTCCTCTGTTCATTTTTGTTTTTCTGGTGTTGTCATGTATAATAAACAAATTCTTATTCTGTTTTATTGTTTAACAGGCTTAAGCTGTTCCAAAATTTTGATCACTTTCGAATTCTTGTTTGTGGCGGTGATGGTTCCGTAGGCTGGGTGATGAATGAAGTTGACAACCAGAATCTGTCAAATCAGGTAAGAAAACAACTACTGTTTTCACTTGGGTTCAATTATGCAAGGGCGTACTGGAAATGCAGTTTAACTTTTTAGTTTATGCACCAAATTCTTTCGTTTGACCGTTCAAGTTTAACCCTCCAGCGAATACTTTCACATAGTATTTTTTTATTTAGTATGTACACGTAACTTTTGCTTCTGTGAACAAAATCCTATGGTGTAGCTGGCCATTCAAATGAAACCCGTTCAGCAGGACTTTCACATGGTACTATTTATTTAGTACGTAGTTCTAACTTTTGAGTCTGTGGATGAAATCCTATGGTGTTACCATTCATATGAAACCTCTTCACCAGTACTTTCACATGGTACTATCTATTTAGTTTGTAGTTCTAACTTTTGAGTCAGTGGATAACCTCCTATGGTGTTACCATTCAAATGAAACCTCTTCAGCTGTACTTTCACATGGTACTATTCATTTAGTCTGTAGTTCTAACTTTTGAGTCTGTGGATGAAATCCTATGGTGTGACCATTCAAATGAAACCTCTTCATCAGTACTTTCACATGGTACTATTCATTATTTTAGTCTGTAGTTCTAACTTTTGAGTCTGTGGATGAAATCCTATGGTGTGACCATTCAAATGAAACCTCTTCAGCAGTACTTTCACGCGATAATAAACAATTATTGTTCTGTAGTGTCAGCTTGGTGTTCTACCACTTGGAACTGGAAATGATCTGTCAAGAGTCCTGGGATGGGGTACATCATTTGATGATGACAACGCTGTTACACAATTTCTCCAGCATTTGGAAAGAGCTAAGGCTGCAGTCCTGGACAGGTGATTCTCCGTTTTGCTATACCGTAAATCATCTATCAAGCCCAGCCTCACAAATAAGCCTCCTCCCTCTAATTAGCGCCCCCCCCCTTTCAGGGGAAGAAAGTTAATAAGCCCCCCCTCCCCTCCCCTGATTATTCTTCACTAATAAATGATAGACTGTAATAATCAATCACAACTGTAAAACTTCGTGTGGACTGATCTGGGATGGTTTATTTACCATCTGGAAGTTCGGATTTGATTCTGATCCTCGGTTACATGACCTCCAACCTTCTTGTACTTGAGCTTTTCCGCTTTGTATTCTAGTTCTTTATGGAGAACTTATACCATCGTCTTTTCTGAATTAAATTAGCCCCCCTCCCACCCTCAAATGGGATTGAACTAAATAAGCGGGGGGCTTAATAGAGGATTGACGGTAATTCTGCAAAAACCCATCAATATTTCGTGAAGAAAATACTAAATTCCTCTGGAAAATATTGAAAAAAAATACAGTTGAACCTCTCCACTAAGGGGCGTCAGTGGGGCTTTTTCCTACTTTGACGGTATATCTTTGGAAGGACGAAGACCATCTAGCAACATCTTCTGTTGAATAATAATCACGTGCCTTATGTTCTGTGTTGTAGATGGAGTATCATGATAGAGGAACGTCCTTTGTCAGCGTCCAGAAGTTCTTCAATAGAAACCTTAGATACTCCTGTAAGTGTTTTTGGTTTATCACTTTGGTCTAGAAATCAGAACCAGGGGGCCTAGTTTTTTCTAGAAAGTACGCCTTGTCGCAGTCCCAGTCCCCGCTCCGGCTTGTGTCTGTCTTATTAAAGACAGCTGGGTGTGGAAGGGTATCTTCGAGATCTGGGATTCGGCCGAAACACAGTGCCGGATTGGGAAAGACGCCAGAGTTGTTAACGGGAAACGGTATTTGCCCGTTACTCGGGGAGCGGGATGCGCCACTTCAAACGTTATGCGCTTATTCCAACTCGTTCAATTCGTCAAATGCTGGCAGATTTTTCTGGAGTTGAATTCTAAAAAGACTGTATCAAAGTTTAGAAAAAGAAAAAGAAAGTCGTTGTATTGTGTTCACGTCGTCGACAAAACGTAAAATTAGGCAGTTTCACGTTGCAGTCGTGCAGCGACGGCAAAGAAATGTTCAAAAGAGCGTGATGCAGGTGCAAAGTTGTTGTTTTGCCAATCTAAACCTATGAGTACTTGTTTGCCGTTCTCGTTGCCGTCGCCGTCGTCGTTGCTTAAGCTTCCTAATTGTCGTGAAAAAGGAGCGGGAGGGCGAGATCAGGGACCCCTCTTACAGACTCCACCCTGTAGAGAGGCTTGACTATGACTACATCAACAATGTATGCAGTGAATTTTATTCTAACGGTGTTTTCTTAATAAATTTGTTATTGTCACCGACCTATCCTCCTGTTTTATTCTACAGTACCGACAAGAAGTCGACACCATGGACATGTTTGAAAACAACGTGGCGGCGCATTTGACAAGAATACTTAATTCCAGTAAACACTCGGAAGTCATTTCGTCTGCCAGGTGTGAATTACTTTGTAATATTCGATTATACAATAAAGAGACCAATGCAGTCAGTAAGTGCAAGTCATAAAGGGTACAGTTAACCTTTCGTTTGTTCCAATTCCTCCTATTCCTCCTCATCAGGCATCATCATCATCATCGTCGTCGTCGTCGTCATCTTCGTCATCTTCCTCCTCCTCCTCCTCATCATCATCATTATCATCATCGTTACTGTATTTTTTTCGATAAAGTGGGTTATAGACCAGGCAGCTTGAAAGCTGATGTGAAATTTCCACAGGACTTACACACACATAGACTCACCTCAGTTTTAAGGTTGACCACAGCATCGGGTTCTATGTCCCCTACTCTTTACGAACAGGTTATCTTACGTCCCACAATAATCGAAACAGATTGAAAGTGCTCTTAGGTAGGGCCTAAGTTAGTTTGTCCTTATCGAAGATTTAGTTCTACAAGCGTAGAAGTATTTCAAGGTTATTTTCAGCTTTGTCCTCTTTTGGCTTTTTTTCTCTGTAGAGTTTTGTGCGAGACGGTCAAAGATTTCGTGTCCAAAGTTGGTACTGCTTCAGCTAACTCTGATCCGTCTCAAGCCGATGAGCCAGATTCACTGGCGCAAAAGGTTTGTATTTATCTTTACAGTCTGGTTGGTTTACTCTTCTTGAACTCAAAACTTAATATATCTACATCATTGGCATGTCGCCATCATCACCCCGGCAAAAGCTCGATTTCATCCACCGAAATGACCTTGGACACCTTATGGTGCCTACACAACGAGCTAATTATGATGCCTTACAGAGGAGGGAGCGCATTGACTATGGTGATTAGGGTTAAGTATTGACTTGAAATGGTCAGCTTTCATCACTGTTAAAAACCTAATTAGCTTTTGACCGGTTATTGTCCGTTAATTTCGTGTAAGTGTAATTGAGAGGGAAAGGTCATTTTGGAGGATGAAAATCATCAGTACCTACGTCATGATATTAAAAATTAGGATTGTTATTTTCATCATCTTTGTTATCGTCATCATCATCATCATCGTCGTCGTCATCATAAATCAGATTAAAAAAGCCGTGGAGATTATAATAATAATGAAAAAACTAATAAAACCCATGGAGATTATAATGAAACTTCTTACAGCATGTAAACCCGTAATAATTGTAACAAGGTCAAATTGTTGCTTGATTAGGCTGAGAAAATTTGTAAACTCTATGGTCACTTTTCTTTTACATTTTTCTTCTTTCAGTGCACGGTTCTCAACGAGAAGCTAAACCTGCTGTTAAACGCGTTAAGCATAGAATCCGAAGCTCTTCCCCCCTCAGCAGAAAATTCTGGGAACTCTGGTAATGGAGCAGGAAAGCAGAAAGTATTCGTGCCCAGGGACGCTCTTATGTCCAGAGCAAACAGTCTAAAGAAGGCGTTAAAACAGATTATAGAGCACGCAGAACAGGGTGAGGAACTTTGCCATGGTAAAAACAGTGTACGTGACAGTGCGTAAGGGAAGAAATGCCTCTCGAGTGAGGAAGGCGTGCACGTAGGAGAGGGAACTCAACTCCGCCCTCTTGCACACCTACCTTTCCTTCCCCTCCCCCGATATTTGTCTTTCGCCTATTGCTTAGGCCAAGTGTGACAACTCACAGCTGTACAGAAAAGTACTGCTCAGTGACAATTTAAGGCTGTCGGCAAGTTACTTTGAAGCTCCGTGTTCTGTGGTTGAATAATAAATCCTTTCCTCGTCAGCAGTCAGTTTTAGCTCGTCCATCCACTCAGTAGTTTCTTCAAACAGGGAAAACAAACGGCCTAATTTAGAAACAAAGGTGACAACTTTTTTAAACCTAGAGGAGATAAGGTCTTATTATTTCCAACAGCAACAATCTTTGCTCCATCACATTTTACAAACGTGAAGGAGAACCTTTCGCCTCTGCAAGCAGGATACAGTGCTATTTGAGCCGGGGTGCACTTGTTTAGCATTTGCAAAGTTTTTTAAGCTCGATCTTTCTCTACGCCGCTCTCGTTGTTTTTGTCTAGGTGCGCGGGCTCGTTTCCCGAACAGCGGCTGGTAAAAAAAAAGTTTCTATGCAAGCTTGATTAGCTATAATGTAAGCAATGTCTTGTCGTCTCGTGGAAGCGGTCTTAAGTACCCTATTTCTCTGAGTTGCCTTCTTAATGTACTTTTCGTTGTGAGCGCCAACAATGTTAACGCGCCCGAATATAAACCCAGAAGGTAAGCGAATTTGTTTTAAAAGTGAAGTTCCTCACAATGCGAGAGGTCGTGAATTAGCTGCTAATAAAAGTAACTTGTGGACAACATTTTCTTAATTTTTTACTTCCAGCTGTGGATGAACAAAATGCACAGACTTGTGCCTCGACGACCTCATTGGCAGAAGCCATCGTCACAGTGGCCGCGTCCGCAGCCGGGGAAGTGGTGACTACATCCACTGCACCCATAATCGAGGAAGGACTGGAAGCAATAAAAGGTTAGTACGTCATCCTGCTAGAGATAATGCGCACTCTAATTGGCTGAGAAAGCGTGCTTTATGCGATTATAAAACATGGAGCTAAAGCTGTCACGCCATCTGCCGATCTTTTGTTTTGAAAAGTTAGAAAGTATTGCGTGGGGAATTTTAACGGATTGTTTATCATAAAACAAATGAAGAAGCCTTGGCTGTGCTCTGTTTTGTCGTAAAGCACTTAGCAAGCAAGCTGCTAGATAGCACTCAAGAGAGGAGCACTCGACTACGTCTCGTGTTTTCCCCTACACTTCTTTCAAGCTCTAGCCACTTCCTGCGACAGCGTGCATTTCAACAGAACAGAGCACAGTCAAGGCTTCTTTATTTACTTTGGAACAATATTAATGAAGCAATATCGTTTATAAAGCTTGAATTCGTTGGTTGTGCTATTTGTTGATTTCATTTCAGATAACGAAGGAAGCATCATAAACCCGCGGGACTATCAAAGCGGGCTGGAATCTGACCCAGGCCCCTCGGACAACAGATTACAAGCCTCCTCTGAGCAGCGCCAGTCTCGTTGTATAAGTCAAGGCAGTTCTCTCCCCTTTACCTTTGGACCTATGTTAGATGATAAGCTGATAGGACCTGGAGGCAAGCCTACCATACACTTTAACAACTGTATCATCGCCAGGGCTTTTCTTAAAGAAAGGCCAAGTGAAGGACTAATTGGCTCGTTGATTGGTCGAGCATTGTTGGCCCATTCTGATGCATTGTGTGCGGCTGCCACGCCCATGATGAACAACGTGTTGGATGTGTAAGTTTATTAGCATGTTGGGTGCCCTGTATACTTTACCACATCACGGTATGCTAAGTTATGACTGTTTGTTTCACTGATTGATCGAGCATTGTTGGCCATTCTTATGCATTATGTGTGGCTGCCACGCCCACGATGAACAACGTGTTGGATGTGTAAGTTTTTTAGCATATTAAGAGGGAATCCATCAGGAAATTGAGTAATATTAATTTTCAGTAGACAAAAACCCTGTACCACAATTCGTTAAGGCATATTACATTCTTTTTTACATTTTTCAAGGGCTAAAGATGTAATTAGTCATCTGTAATAACACCAAAGAAAATGTTTTCCCTACGATTTAATTTTTTGTAGTTTACTTCCCGGTTCCGATGACTTGCCTTAGAATTCTTGGATGACCTTTGAACTTCTCCTTCATTTCTAGGGAGGGCTACACGGAAAAATGCGTCATGAATAACTACTTCGGTATTGGACTGGACGCTAAGATTGCGCTGGATTTTCACACGAGAAGAGAAGAACACCCCGAGCAATTCAGGTTTAGTCTATTACTTAAGCGGCAATGATAGAGAGATTTAAAATCATGCTTACGACAAACGCTATCGGCACATTCAAGTTGAGAATTTCTCTAAATAAAAAGATAGCAGATAAAAACAGTCCAAAGCAATTCTTATCCTGATATCGTGAAACTACTGTTTTTTTTGCTGTTTTTTTTTGCAGAAGTTAAGAACAGTTAAAGACAAGTTCAGGGAAAACTAATTCACGTTTATCGTAAACGTAACTTCCAAATCTCTCTGTGGTTCAATCAAATCAATCAATCAGTCAATCAGTCAATCAATCAATCAATCAAACATATCTTTATTTCAATTCGGATTTCATCGTAGCATTTCTGCTTGTAAGTTTTTCTTTCCTCGTCATATTTTATTCTTAATGGAGTGAAGGTCATAAGATCCCTACACATTCGTTAGCTATGAGAATGTGTTTTAAAGTCAAGACATTTTAGTTGAGTAACACTGGATCATCCGGAGCTGGGTTTTTCTTTTACATTCTGTGTTTCGACGCCACTTGGTCGCTTGCTTTATGAAGCCATAAGGCTTCGCTGTCGTGTATTAGTAAGTGATGACGCATGTGACTCATGGGGGGTGAAGACTTCAAATTTATACTGAATATTTGCATTCACTCAAGCCTAATATTGTCTCGGTAGTCTTGTGTGATCAGGCTGAATCGAATTCAGCTTCAATCTTTGTATTCTCTGTTTCGACACCACTTGGTCTCGCTTTCATGAAGTCACGTAGCCTCGCTTTCGTGTATCGGTGATGAAGAGTCACGGAATTCCTGACTAGTTCTTAACCCTTGATTACTACCAGTATTCAGTTATTACAAACCATACGAGATAAGAGTTCACAGGTTAAAAAACCCACACTATTCGGCGCATGAAACTCCTTGTCAATCAACAAACTGATTCTTAAGTTCTAGTGATTACGAGCAAAATTTTTACTTTTCTCTGTAGAAATGATGTGCATGAAATAAAGTATAGTGTGTGTGTGAAATGATGTGCATGAAATAAAGTATAGTGTGTGTGTGTATGTTTTGGAAGCAGAAACATAAACGCTGTTTCTGTTTTTTGTCTTTTCTTTGTTTATAGAAAGCGGGCGCTGAATTTGCTTTATTATGGGTTATTGGGAGGAAAAGAGTTGCTGCAGAGAACATATAAAAATCTGGATCAAAGAGTCAGGCTCGAGGTATGAATAGTGGTTGTTATCTAACTGATCTGAGCAGGTAATGGCTACAGTGTATTTGGTTTGGGCGCTTTTCATTGATAAAACTCCAAAATAAGTTCAAGTGTATGGTAGCATAAACTGATGTTAATAAACCTGAGAATTATGCCCTGTGAAATCACACTTATTGACATTCTAGCAACAATCCTGTCTCTGTTCATTTGTTACACAACGTTCAACATTTGAATAAGAGTTGGTACTAAGTAATGGTAGATACTTGTTCAAAGTACAAGAAAGAACAATGAACAGTAATTAGTTGGTTGATTACAATGTATCCTTCTCCTTTGGCAAAGTCCACTGTAACTTAGCATGATATATTACTAGACTCCACAAAGGTTCCATTCATATTATCACATGCTCATCATGCACATGTGCTCCTCTTTTGCCGTACACTGTACTTTTCCAGTCAGTTCTCTCAGGGCTTCGGCTCATTCACAACAGCGTTAAAGTGAACTTTAAGTAATTCGCAACCCTTGCAAACCTAGTTGTTCTAGGGTATTGCACTCGCATTTCTCATTGTTTTATCGGATGTTCGTTTCTTCACAGTGCGATGGACATAAAATCAATCTCCCAAGTCTGCAAGGAATTGTGGTACTTAATATAGCGAGGTTAGAAAACATCAAAGATGTGACAAACATTTCTTACTGTATTAGGGTCTATCAACGGTGAAGACCATCTTTTTGCTCGTGAAACACTTTCACCACTTTGTCTAATTTTACTTTGAAAAAGGATTTTTGCGCCGAAGTTGTTCCAAGTCGTTTAAGTTGTCCTGAGTTACTCAGACAAGACGCGGATTAACGTTGATAAGACGGAATCTTGTCATGATAGCCATCACAAAGTGTCCCAGTGGACAAAAGGTGTCTAAAGCACTCATAATTCTGTCAAATATGATGCAATTCGAAAACGAAAAATGACCCTGTCAGATAAGCAGTATTTGAAAACAACAATGTGCTCAATGCGGGAAATAGAAGTGTGACGAAATGTCATGGCGGCTGCAGACGGCATTTAACAAAATTTAAGTTCGGAGAGGAGCTCAAAAATCAACGGTCATGTGGTCAAGTTTCCCACCAGAGTGTTTTTTATTGATTACGTACCTAGCCTTAGAAAAAACAGCCGACACCTTTTGACGTCACCACTGGTTTCCCCGCGAAATGACGTCTGAGAAACGAGCGCAGAAATTCCATACTGATGACGTGTCAGTACCCATAACTGGGTAGTGCTTCTGATTGGTTGTGCCGCGAGGGAAAGTTTCTTCAACCAATCAGAAGTCGACTGACCTTCCACTGTCTTCTTGAGCCATCACGTGCCAAAAGTGAATACCAGTATGTTATGCTAATCAGGCTATCCTATTGTTTGTGATCGGTTATTGCCGCCTTAAATTTCTTTAACATAGCTCCCTGATGCGACCCTACTGAACCACTTTAATTGTATATTTGTTTCCTGTTTGTACCCTACAGTTATATGGGTGGAGCGAATTTCTGGGGAACAGGACGTGATGACGTAAGTGCTGATTCTAAGGCCTCTAGTCAATTTCGTCACTCACGTTCCAGTGAGTTTTCTCGAGGGAGGTTTCAACCATCTCCACACTTTCTTCATAACTCGTTCCTGAATCCATAAAGAGGAAATAAAATGGAAATGGAAGAAAACAGTAGATTGTATGTAGGACTATGAACCCCCATCATTTCATGTTTAATCCATGCACATCCGTATCCACTACACCTGTATTCAACTCTTTTCCTTGCACAGCTGTCTCTTACTCTGATTTCTCCACTTTTGTCAAAAATCTGCCTAATAAATTCTCTACCCCGAGTTTCGCGTTGTGTAATCAACATTCAGTTCGTCACAACGCCTGACCAGTCTCATATGCAACCTTAAAATGGCTGATAGAGATCAATGTTTCCTTTTCCCGTTGCATACGGTTTACAAAATCATTCTACAACAGTGAAGCGTTCATGTTATCTGTATTTTCTCCTTGTCTGCACACTGCAGGGTTTTATGGAGCCTTCGAATGATGACAACCTCTTAGAAGTCGTTGCTGTTCTTGGTGCAACTCAAATGGTGAGTAGGCCTGTTGGATCACGAAATGGAATGTACTAAGCGGATGATAAGGATATTGTATGTGTATTTTATTGCCAATTGTAAATTGTTATTTTATAAAATGTTGACTGGAAAATTTTTCACAGATGTCGGCGCAGTTTTGCCTTGTCAAAAATGTAGGCGCGTATGCGTAACAGGACTTGCTGTTCGGTAGCGTTTGTGCTAAAAACTGGAACCACGAAACTGTCAGAAACCTCTGTCTTTATTTGCGTTATTGAAAACACACCTGTTAAACGACGGTTCCAACCAATGCGTAACTTTTTGTTTCCTTATGAAACTAGGGCATGTGTAAAGTGTTCGGAGGAATGCAGCATCATAGAATAGCACAGGTAAGTGACATTTGCTAGTTTAAAGGTTGCGAAACTGAACCTTGAAGAAATCTCGACTAATAGTGGTACTTGAGACTAATTTAAGGGACTACTCGATTCGTTTAAAATTGTTAACATAAGAGGCCTTATAACATGTTGTGTTTAACCCAGTTAATCATTCTTTATGTTTTTCTTTGCTCCAATACTTGGTTTATCGTGCTTATCACTGGTTGCATGTAGTATTTTCCCGCGCCTTGCGCTTACCCGCAGCAGTTCGTTGTTTTCAAGAGCTTAGCACAGACCGTATATATATTTTTTAATGAATTTTGACTGGTTTTATTTACTGCACTGCCAACAAGATTATGTTTTGTGAGATGTTACAACGGTGGACTTAGTTCTTTTTCTATTAGTTAAGAATTAAAGTAACTTATTGAAACCATTCTTACTCAATGCGGTTCTTTTTAGTGCCGGGCGGTTAAAATTTCCGTATTTGGGGAATCAGTCCCAGTTCAAGTAGACGGGGAAGCCTGGATGCAATCTCCGGGCTACATCAAAATTGTCCATAAAAACAGAGCACAGATGCTAGTCAGAGATAGGGTAAGTTAAATGAATAAACAAGTAAGTCAATAAATAATGAATAAACAAGTAATAACGATTTAGAAGTACCACGTCACGTCACCATGTGGGCCACATGATGACGTTTACCGTTGTTGATCGAATAGGCCATTTTCCAGTTGCCCCAAGCCTCTGTTTCAAAGAGAGGTTAACTGCGAAGATATTAAAGGAGCTGTGTCTCGAAATTCAGCCAAATTAGGAAATTACAAAATGCCCGTTAAATTAAGAGAAACATAAAAATAACCGCTTTAAACTTTAAAGGAAGATTAAAATAACATAACGGAAACAACATATGCCATTGGTCGGCAAAACTGAAGAAGATTGAAACGGATTGAAATTAGGGTTTTTGAAAACTGTTCAGCCTAACAGTTTTTCAAAGTTGATCCCTGCTGCTTGTAACTTCAAAAATAATGCTCAGGAGACATATTTGTTTTCTCGGACCTGTGATTTTGTCATTTACATGTTATTTCTTTGCTTACTTTAAGTTCCAAAGCGATTGAGGGCGAGTAATTGGCAAAATTAAACAAAGTGAGCTGGACTGCCGTGACGCAGCCCCTTTAATGTGAAAGTGATTTTTTTAATCTCATGCAAGTGAAAGTCATTCTCACAAGAAAGGTTTTTGCACTTAGCCTCGTTTTGAAAGTGAGAGTTTTTGGAACTCGGAAATGGCCCATTGAAATTTGAAAGTGTTTGTTTTTGAGGAGAGGGAAAATCGGACTACCCGGGGAAAAACCTCTCGGAGCAAGGGAGAGAACCAACAACAAACTGAACCTGCATATGGCTTTGAGTTTGTTGTTGGTTGGTTCTGTTAGACAGCAGTAGTGCTGTAGGAAGATTTTGAATTAGATAGCGAGAACAACTCGGTAATTTTTTGGTTCTGTTTTGCTTCGCTCTTCGGAGTCTCGGACCACTTCCTCGACCTTTCAGGCGAGAAAAAAATCCAGCATTATCTGCCTGCATGCATGCATGCCCGTTGCATGCATCTGATTCGAGGTCGGATTGTTTTTTTTTTGTGGATGAGAAGAATTTAGTCCCATTTTCTCGACCAATCGGAGGCAAAAGAAAAAATTAATCGCGACCTGCTTTTTTCTCGCCTCTTGATTGTTTCCGTTTTCTGAACGGCCATCAGGGCAATAACTTTTGTTTTGGTTTGACAGCGCTAAAAGGGCAACGTTACTTTGACTGGTGTTTGTGCCTGGTGATTCAGTCGTTCCGTTCGCTCTATCATCAGGCGCGAACTTACAGGGGCGGATCTAGGAGGAGGGTGCAGGGGGTGCGCACCCCCCCCCCCTCCTGAGATGACTCGCGGTTTTCTAATACAACTGGTATTCTGCAAAAAAAAAAAACTGTGTGGTTTATTGGTGTTGAAGGAGAGCAAGAGACGAGTGCACCCCCTCCTAAAAAAAATCCTGGATCCGCCCCTGAACTTTGTGTAGTTGGAAAGACTTGTCTTGTTTTGCTTTGCAGGAATTTGAAACTACGTTGAGAGAATGGACAGAAATTCAACAAGAAAAGATCAGTTCTTGTGTGACTAGCGTGCAAGCTGAGGTGCTGACTTCACTCGTGCAGAGTCTGAGTATATTAGTCAACTGGTAAGAACGCTTAGATAAAACTGTCTTACACAGCTAATCATTTAGTTAAACCTTCTTGAAAGACACAGTAAATCGTATCACGCAAGAGTGCTGCTCAGTAGCTTTCATTTGAATGGTCACACTCTAGGATTTTACTCACAGAATCAATAGTTAGCACCACCTTGTATATACAGCATAATATACAAGGCCATAGGAGAGTACTCGGCTCAGTAACTTTCCTTTGCGAGGCTACACCGCAGGTTTTCCTCCACAGAATCAACAGCTAGAACCATTGCGTACGGCTTACAAACGGTGCTCAAGTCACGTGCTGCTCATTAACTTTCACCCCTTTTTCATCCCTTGAATCCTAAGGCCCCTGTAGTGTTTCGTTGTATACCTTGGTTGTCAATTATTTTTCCAGTGACGTCATGCAATTCTGTTTTACGTTTTTTCAGTATAAAAAGCACTTGTGAACCGCGTGAGTCTGATCTTCATGATTTGCTCAGTTTAGCTGATTCCTGCGCGACTTCAATTGAGAAACTCGTGCTAGAGGGAAAAATACCCGAGGTAAGTTAAAAGCTGATGTTACACGGGGCGACTCGCAACGACGATTCCTAGCACAACACAACATTACAACATTGTTTCGAATGGTTGCAACATTGTTCCAACATTGCCACGCTGTGTTGCTCTCAAAATCGTCGTAGCCTTAAGGTGATGTTACATGAGACGATTCTTTGGGTATCGGCCCCTGTGAGGTTGAGAGGGAGACTGGGTTGGGGTCATTTCGAACTGCACCATGGGATTTTTTTGGGGGGACATTATCATTTTATAACTGGCAATAGTCCAACTTTCATGATGCCGACATTTGACCACAACTACTAGAATCCATTTCGTTTTTGCTTTCTTATTTAAATTTGTCAACCACGATGAGGTTTTAAAAAGTAATATCCCTAATTTGCAGAAGAAAACAACAATCTGAAGGATTCTGGTAGTTGTAGTAAAATTACGTCATCAAGCAATTGTCCTATTACGATTTTTTCCTCAAAAACATTCCCATAGTGCAATTCGACATAGCACCGACGCAGTCTCACTCGCAACCTCACTGACTGGCCGATACATACTCATAGGATAGTCTTCATTCTATTCTGTGTACAGACCCCCCTCTCCTCAGGAAAAATCGGACAAGGGGCCCCCTTCTCCAATTTTTGTACTGTCTGTACACAGGCTATCTTCATTAGCGCGCCGTAAAGGTAGAACCAGAGTAATTGATTTTACCAAGAGGAAGTACTTGTTTTGCCACGCTGCGAGCAGAGCCTCCTGTTGTGTTCTTGGGTGAGGAGGAGAAAAGGAAGCTTTACGTCAAACCTTTGAGGTCGCCGCCGCCATACTCTTCGACTAGTCAATCTTGTTTTCTCTCGTCAAACTGTTTTTTTCGAGTGCAAGCATCTGTTTGTTGATAAACCGATAGTCATAACCGAGCCCGCTGTAGCTAGCGCACGGCTGTCAGGCCTGGTTTCAAAACTATATCCTAGCAACATGCTGTGCATGTTCAAGAAAAATCTTACTCGATTCATGCAGAGTCTCTCTCGATTACACCAAACTCCAGCAAGCGAAAGAAATACTCTGTTGGCAGGCAGAGTGATGTTTTGCTCTTTAGTTGTTCAGACAAGCTGAAGCGAACCCTGTCTTACCCCCTCGTTTTGCCCGTATTGCTTCCGCCGCAAAAACAACAACAACAACAACAACAACAAAAAACAAAAAAACCCCCCTTGTTTTGCCATATCATAAATCCTTTATTGACCAAGCTTGTTCGGTTAAGTTTATGGTCGCGTTCTCTTTTCGTTCTCGGCCTGTACAAACGCAAAGGAAAACTTGGCTTGTATGCATTTATCTTGACCTCACGGTTGGGCTAAAACAAGCCATAAAAACATGCTATGCTTCAAACACCATGGATAACCTTACTTAAAACATTATAACACCACTGCCAAACCTTCCAAATACCAAAATCACTACGCCAAAATACTAACGTTCCAACACATCAAGAAACCCCTACTATTCAGACAGAAAATAGTGGAACGTTTCGATTGAATCACCTTTTAAGTGTATCGAAATTGTGAAAGTTTTTGTGTTTTCTAATGTTCTTCCATTTTGTATTAATTCCCAGGCTCCCAGCAAAGGACGGATAACAGATCTCGTTTCGGCCGGAAGGATCTTGCTTCAAGAAGTGACGTGCTTTCTTCATCAAGTTCCTCCGAATCTCATTCCAGTAAGTATAATGTTGGGGTACCGAGCTGCACAGCTGACTTGATGAAGAAAACTTTGTTGATAAAAATTTCCTCTGTCAGTCAGCAGTCAAATGTGACCAAGCTGTGCGAATCTTTTGTAAGTTGGCCTGTGTGATGGGCGCAAAGAATGGGAGGGAAAGTGGAGAAATATACGGGGAATCCCTTCCATTCTTATCCCTTTCGACTTCTGCCACGGTGCAGGCTGATCATTATACGTTTCTGAGAAACTGCCCACCTACCCCTCCCCTAAGCCAGCATTAACACTTAACTCTCACTTGTGGCAAAATGTTGGCTTAGGGGAGGGGGAGGTGGGCAGTTTCCTAGCAGGCTATATGTAAATGAACAAAGACAATGTGTCAGTGAGTCAAAGTCGCGTCCCACATAATATGTGAAGCCGTAGAAAGTCGTGATTACTTGATTACCTTTTTCTGATTTTTTTTTGTCTCGCAGCCATTACCAGGCGAAGTGGAAAGAAATCTTTGGTCGTCAGTATCAACGGTAAAACAGCTGATCAGCAAGACAATTGAAGTGTATGGACTAACAAATCTAACTGAAGAAGAGGTCAGTAAGCATGGCGTAGTTATTTTTAAGGTGCCTTCTCTCCACCAAGAGTGAAATTTCGCATCTGATCAACCATGGAAATAATAAACAACACAAGCACGAGACTAAAGAAAATGAAATTAAATAGAACTCAAAACTGAATCGATAGATTACTCCTAAGGGTGGCGTACTTCACGCGAACATGGCCTCCTAGAGATCTTTGCATACTCGTTTGAACTGGTTTAAACTCCTTTTTCCGAGACAAGCAGAAGGTAAAAAGTCGTCGCACGGACGAGCGTAGACTGGATTTTGGACTGAAGACTATGAGAATCCAAGCAAGATCACGAGTCTTGTTCGAAATATTGCTCTTGCACGGTACTCGTAAGTTTTTGTCGTCGATTAAACTTTCTAATGCCACATATGCGTCATCCGACGAGGAAGCTTCTTTTAAATCAAAGGCAAGGGGCTTGTAACTTGGAACAATTAAATTTTAGGCATTTTAACACTAACAGTAAAAAATTCTTTGAAACAGTAAATTTTTCCAGAAAGAAGCAAAAACGGCTGCAAAAAGGTCAATGCTATTTTGTCTAGTATATCAAGGAGTTTTCGGCAATTTTACGACAATTTACTTCAGAAGATTTCCGAAGACTAACGAAGAGGTCCGACCATTGCCGAAGATGTCCGAAGAACCCTCCAAACACTTTAAAGTACTTTCTTCGGAAACAGCAAACATTAAAAAACTGGCCAATTTAACAGCAAACACTAAAAATTATGGGCAAAAAACACTAAACACTAGACCTCATTTCAGACCCTCTTTTAAGCTTCCTAGCGCTTGTGAGTAGATGAAGAATCGAACATTACGGTGTAATATTAATAACTCCTCTTCTTTCTTTACATTAGGTTGAAAGACAGTCTTCGGGAAAAGGAAAAGGCAAGTTCAAGTTCTCTGGCTTCCTGAGATCATCCAAAAAACCGGAAATGATGAAAGTTGGTTCTGCTCCTTCCGGTATGTAGCGGAAGTAAAATATTGAAACTCAGTTCAGTTTGGAAGAATTTTTGGTGGATTAGAAGTTTTAGGGTAGATCTGGATATATCTTGTTGTTCAATTTTATTTCCTCTTGATTTTTGGTATGGTAATGTATGTTAAAATAAATCAGTTTAAAACAAAGGGAAATAAAATTTAAACCGAGGATAAAATTGAACCACAACATATACAGTAAACACCCGCGAATAAGAACCTAGTGAATTGAGAACCTCCTGGCAGAAATTTACCCCTTTAATGCCCAAAAATACAAGAACCGGTTAAGCCAAGCAAGATCAAGCTGGTTTTTATATTTGGGTTGTAGTAAAATTATCATAAACAATTCAACCAAGGTATTGTAACTTTGAGATAGTGAATTTAAGTATGACGAGAACGTACTGTATATGAATTCTGTGAACAGTTTTGTAAGGGTTATAATAATGCAATTGTGAATAAATGCTCTATTTTTTAAGACCAAACCCAAGGTAATTTATTTTGTGGTAATTTCCTTCATAAAACTTGTTCCCGCCACTACAACATTCTCGCCAAAACTCCTAGTAGAATGACGACGGCTATCACGTTTTCCCGCCAAAATGAAGCTTGTTCACGCGTGAGCAATACTCAGCATTGAGAAAATCTCGTACTCGTAGTCGTTCTCGTCTCAGAATCGAAAGCTCCCTAGTGAAACCAATTATGGTCGTTTATGTCTTGGTTAATAACAATTTAACAAGGATACCTGAATGTGACATCTCCAACTTTGATGCCCTGAGAAAGGGGATACTCCCCCAATCCCAGCTCTTCCCTGAGATGTCTAAAGGCTTATAGAAGCTCCCTTTCTTGAACACACGCCTATAGGAAAAATATGCATGGGTAGAAAACTTGAGATTACCAGGTTCATTTTTTATAAATTAGTGGCATACAATGTAACACAATCTTTTCATTTTATCCACTTACGTTGCAATGCAGCAGGAGTCTCCAAGCCAATGTTGTCCAGGATATGCTCAAAATCCTGGGCAAACATTGGCTTCTTGGGGTATCGATCTTGTTTCGCTAATTCTTTCTGCATGAAGCGGCTTAAGGTTGTCCCTAATTTGGGGAACTGCTCGGCAGGACTAGTGTGTCCATTGGAACCTTGCTGAAAATAAAGGAAACGTGCATATCAGTAAAAGTTGGATGAGACTCAAAAGTGGAATTACGTTCTCCAAAAACATGGCCAGTTCAAATCAGTAAGCATAGATGAAACGCTACCATAGCGGCTGTAATCGCTGATAACAAAACGTGCTGCGCGGCGTTGAACGGATTCGATACAGTCAATCCATTTATTTGTATGCGGAGACCAAGCAACCGTGGTGTATTCAACAATCGGACGCACCAAGGATAGGTATGCACGTGCCTTAATCGATCGATCGCACGATGAGAGATTCCTCTGAAGGATCTTCAAAACTCTCATAGCCTTCTTTTTAGCTTCGTCACACTGCAATTGCCAACTCAACGCGCATGTTATATAGACGCCGAGGTACTTTTGGTGGCAGGCACCGTCGAGCTGCGCATTACAAAGGGAGTTACTAAACTGGGAAGGAGAATTCTTCAAAGTGACGGACATAACAAAACATTTTGTAGTAGCAAATTTCATCTGCCATGTGTAGGCCCACTTCTCTAGTTGATCGAGGTCTCGCTGGAGGGCAAAATGGTCGCTTACGGAATTAATCGGGCGGTAAAGAACACAGTCATCGGCGAAGAGCTTAATACCAGACGTGGTGTTGGTAGGTGGATCGTTGATAAACATCAAAAAGAGAATGGGACCCAATACGGTTCCCTGTGGCACCCCGGAAACTACAGGCGACCACGAAGAGGCAGAACCATTAATCAAAACTCGTTGGCTACGCCCAGTTAAAAAGCTTCGAAGCCAGATATTAGTCTTATTACGAATTCCAAAGTAGTCAGCCTTAAGTAAAAGCCGTTCATGGAGGACGGAGTCAAATACTAGGAACACAACATCGACCTGACCATGGACGTCTAGGACTAATGCCCATTCGTAAATGACGGTAATGAGTTGAGTCTCACATGACAGACCCCGCTGGAAACCATGCTGGTGCGGAGAGCTGATGCGATTTATAGAAAGGTGTCGTGATATTTGGCAATATACTATATGTTCCATGACTTTAGATGTAAGGGATGTTAGAGACACCGGTCTGTAGTTTTTGGGAGGTCGTCACCTGTTTCCATCCGCCAATCTGACATTTTCCTCTCACTGGCTCTCACAAGACATTTCACTTTTCTTACATGAAATTTCTCTGTCTCTTGAAATTTCTGTTCATAAAAGTCTAAGTCTCCTCAATTTTTAAGGGAAAAAAAATTCCAGATGGCACGAAAAGGATTCGATCTCGGAGCATCGGCTCTGCAGTGCATCACTTTAACCCCTAACAGGCCACCGAGGATCTGCTGACAATGAATGGTTTGATCTGAATATATATAGCAACAACCCTAACCCTAACCCTAACCATTAACTTGTGTACGAATCATTAATCTGTCAACGTCCGTTTGGCGGCCATTTTTAAAGATGGCGCAAATATTGGCTAGCTTCTAAGCATATGGCAGAGTCAGATTGTTGATAAAGGGAGGAGAGTACAACGGCGAGCCCTGAAGCGGCGTCGCGGAGGATTCTAGCTGGAATCAAGTCTGGTCCACTAGCTTTATCAATCTCAATTTTCAGAAGTCGTTTCTTGACGCCCTCTGCCGAGAATTTTATATCAGGCTTACACTCGTAAGGCGAGGGGGGCATTAGTGGTAAGTTGCAGAGATCTTCTTCTATGAACACACTGTCATATTGTGCTCGTAAAGCCTCAGCTTTGGCGCTGGCCGAAAAGCGTACGCGGTTGTTAGATACTGAGGCCGGGATTCCCAGGGATTCTGTTCTAAGCAACTTTAGGTACGACCGAGCACGTTTGATTCCATTAGAGCCAGCATTCTCAGGCTCAGTCCCCAGAGACTCTGGGGTTAAACCAGCCATAACATCATTGAGGTACTTATCATGGGCAACACGTAGGCGTTTGGTTGTGATATTGCGACGTCGCTTGTATTTGGTAAGGTGAACGGCTTTGCCGCTACGACAAGCCTCCTCGTACGCTCGATTACGTTTGATCATGAAACGTTTCACAGAGGAGCTGACTCACGGGAGGTGACGCTTTCCCTTGGACATTTTATGTGGTATGAAGTGGTCAGTGGCTTCTGGGATCTTTTGAGAAATGTAGGACCAGTTTTCGTCCACAGTGGTACACTCTGGTAATCGGAAGAAAGAGTAGTCAGGCTTGCCTTTAAACTGACAAAGTCACCCTTGTGAAACTTATAGATTTTTGTTTTGCCGCCAAAGTGAAGCTTGCTCACGCGTGAGCAATAATCAGCATTGACAAAATTTCGCACTCGTTGTCGTTCTCATGTCAGAATCTAAAGGTCTCCAGTGAAACCATTAATTAGTAGATGCCTGTTTAATCTGTTTGAAAATGACTTTTGTTTTTAGGTCGTATGATAAAGTTCTGGGGAGTGGAAGAGGTTGGTAACTGGCTGGAGAGCCTGGGACTCGCGGAGTACAAGGAACGGTTTGCGAAAAATGACATTCAAGGAGAAGAACTCTTAGGACTTGACAGAAACGACCTAAAGGTATGTATCAATATATCGACACTCCACTGGTCTAGTCCTAGCAGTCCCCTGGGGAGTACACCTGGGAATTCTTGGTGAGGGTGTGCCGCCTGGTTCTCCAAGTCTTGACCCAATTTCAGACCAAAAAATGTCATGTTTCAAATCCGTTTTCAGACCTTGCCGCTATGTAATAATGTCATCATTACTTAGATTAGAACAACAACAAAAACGATGTCACTAATTCGATTTCGAATTCGCATATTTCCCTTTCTTTCTTACTGGAACAAAAGTAGGTCACGTCAAAAGGATGATGCCTGACTGGTCGTGTCGAAAAGTCAGTTCCCGTCAACAACAGTCCTATTCAGGACTACATTCACCCGGACGATCATGGACGATCAACTTACTTATAAAAAATAACTCCTGGAAATGAAATGACTTCTGGATTCAAACCTTTCACCTTTTCGTGTGACGTGTATGTTACTTCATTAGGCGCCTGGTGTGACAAAACTTCGTCACGTCAAACGGATGATGTATGTTTCTGTTTAATAATGGTCGCGTTTGTGTTACTTCTTTAGGAGCTTGGCGTGACAAAAGATCGTCACGTGAAACGTATGATGTATGATTCTGTTAATGGTCGTATTTGTGTTACTTCTTTAGGAGCTTGGCTTGATAAAAGTTTGTCTCGTCAAACGGATGTTGCATGATTCTATTAATGGTTGTGTTTGTGTTACTTCTCTAGGAGCTTGGCGTGACAAAAGTCGGACACGTCAAACGCATTCTCCATGGCATCAGAGCTCTTTGCGGCGGAGTGTCGCCCAAAACAGCATCAAGAATCGAGAGAACGGAAAAAGCCGAGGCAAAGGCGGGAAGAAGTAAGAGGGTGATTGACAAGGAAGACAGTCACTAAAAGTGAGCGTGGGATTGATGATGGTGTTATAAAAATGTGCAAATTTTAGTGGCAAGAAATATAGTAAGAACTCAGGGACGTTCTTCTGATCAAAGGTGAATTTCCACTGTCGCGTTATTTTTACGTGCGTAAGTAACAGTAAAGGCATTGTAAACGTATAAGTCGAGCGAGGTTCCACTTTTACGTTTACGCGCGCCTGAGTATCAGGCGTTTCTGGGGGGAAAGGGGAAAGATGGAAGCGAAAAAGGGAGAGAGAGCTGATCTAAAATCTCCTCTCCACTAGCGCCTTAGCAAGGTCTGATATTCAGTCTACGTTCACGCGCAACCAGCACGTAAAAATTATGCGACCGTGGAAATCTCCTTTAAGTAACGTTCCTCATTTGAATGAATGGTAAAAAAGAAAAAAGTTGGAGTGGAAAATTCTAACACGTAGTTACTTAAGTAATAAAGATATTAATAATGACAGAGAAAACAACACCAGCACTGCAATCGTTTCAACACACCAACAATATTAAGCAATTTAATTATTGTGACTGCTAGTAGCTTGTTAGCTACTAACAGTCGGATCTCGTTTTGTTATATAGCGTGAAAATTTTTCTGGACATCACAGGGTCGAGAGTCCAATGTTATCTGCGAATGTCGACCGCTCGTCGAGATTTACTTCCATGAATTTGTACACGAAGTAGTTTTTCTTCGTTGGCTATATAGCAAAGACCTTTATGAAGAGTCCCTCGGGAAACAAAATTATGTTTTTCCTCGGGACCGTTCATTAATTCGTATTAGTTCTACAAAAAACGATAGAGTAACTAAAAACTTTGGTTCATCGAAAGTTTATCTTTGAAGCGAGACAATCGAGTTTTTGGATAGTTGACAAGCAAATAAAAAATAATGCTAAATTTTAATATAATCATGTATTTATATCAGAAAAGGGGCATTTTTATTACGTCTAGCACTTATTTGGCATAATGAAAAATCCAACGTCAAATTTTCTCGTTTTATTAACTGTGTTAATAAAACTGAACAAACGTGTAATCCTGCAATTTTATCAACAGCGTAAATATTAGCAAAAATTTAGAAGACTAGAAAGAGGTAATTGTTGAGTTTACAGTGTAAGTTCGATGTTATGTCCGCACTATTACATCCTCTTAGCATGAGGGGCTTTCAGATGCTTAAAAAATGCCACGTTTTGTTTCAAGCTGTCACTTGCATTGATATTCAAGACTAACTTTGCTGAATTCTTTTATATAATTATTAATCCCAATATCGACTACATAAATTAATTCCTTATCATATGAAGTGGTATATTTATACGCAAGACATTAAGGACTGTCACAGAGCAGTTCTTTAGTGTTGACTACGTGTGTAGTTTGAAAATTGGGAAACCTCGGGCATGTGTAGTTTAATTGTCGTTAACTTTGCTCTAAGGATTGGAAATTTTCGAAGCATAGTTAATAGGGCCTTGACGCGTCCAATTTTCTCCTCTTAGTCCTTCAAACCAATTGCTCGTATCAAGTAGAATTCGCCTTCCTGTAGGACGGGAAACTGCTGAGGCCTGCGGACGAGATATTATTTTGCTGATATTTCTATGGTTTCCTGAATTTTCAAATTGATGAGCTTCTTTCAAAGCTTGCTAGCCCTTTTTAGGTTAGTGGGACTCTGGGTTCAAGATGCGTCTACTCGACGACAGAACACTGATGACGATTTTTTGAGTAGTCCTTCTTGAGGCTGGGTGTCCTGTGTTAAGTGTTTAGTCGCCCTGACAGGTCAGGGAATATCTGATGAGCTGTTGTACAGTTAACTGCAGAGACGCGATAGAGTCTAACAATGTTATTATTATTTTGTATAAAATTTAAAGGAGAAAAGAAAATTCAGGAGTATACTAGTAATTAACTTCTGTAAAACAGAGAAAGTATATTTATTATTCCATTAGTTGCTGGATTGTTTTGTTACATATGTATAGTTTTCGTGAAGGCGTCAAACTTCATTAGCTCATATCATATCATTTGCACCGATCCGCAGTATGAAAAATTGCCCTCTGATTGCAGGCTTTGTGAATGAGCACAAGAGTGAATAGGGCGGAGTACCTGCAAACTGGTAAAAGAGAGAAACTAGGACGGCCCTGGACTACTGGGTTACTTCTCGACCAAACATAAAGAGGTGGTCATCAAAATCAGAATGTGAAAAAATAGGCTTTATGAACTAATTGTTTCTTATGAAAAGACTTAATTGGAAGGTTTGCTATACAAATTTTGTGTCCTGATAGGTCACATAGAACTTTATTAGAATTATAAAAGGCAAACTGCGGTGACAAACATGAAGCTAAACAAGCCCACAGCTAAAATAGAATTTCATTCACTGACTTAACGTTTCGTATGTCTCAACATACATCTTCAGAAGTAACCGTAGGCTAAAATTTTTAAATATATGATAACAGTAATTTGAGTAGCTAATGAGATAATATTGACAAAAACAAAGGAGGTAATACAATACTACAACTGAGTAAAGAAAACGGTAAAACAAAAAGAAACAGAATGACACTATGCATGCATGTAAAACATACACGTGTAAAACTAATCAGTAAAGATACAACTCAGTTTTTCGCTGCTAGCGTAAGCGAATGAAATTCTATTTTAGCTGTGCGCTTTTTTAGCCTCATGTTTGTCACCGCAGTTTGCGTTTTATTTCTAATCAAGCTTCGTTGGGCTTGGACGAAAAGCATTTATGATTCTGAACTTACTTGAAGGGGTTTGGTCACAGTTTCTGCATCTTGAAAAATTCTTCAAGTTTGTCATCCATGTTAATTTGACGCTTGAAAATATAAATGACGAGTTGATCGTCGCTGTACGTGTTTGTAATTTTTATGGCTGTATTGTTATGACCAGCAATGGAATACAATAAAAAATGATGACGTAGATCCTAAATTGTTGTCCCACCCCTTCTTTGACATTTTTTTATTTTTTTGTTATTGAATTGAAGTTTTCTTAAAAGTACGACTTCTAGAAAGAAAACCATATGTAGCATTTTTAATATAAGGGTGAAAGAAGGAGAAGGGAAAAAAAAAAAAAAAAAAAACACCTCCGACGGGACTCGAACCCGCAATCTTCGGCTCTATCGTCAGGTCCCACCTGACCACCAATAGGAGGCCGACGCCTTATCCATTAGGCCACGGAGGCGGGATATGGGATGAGGTCGAAAAAGGGCATTATCAATGTCAGCTCGATTGTAATGTGTAGATCAAAGCGCGGTTACCAACGCGTTCGACAAGCTGCCACTCGCGCTGGTGACTGCATTTGCCAGACACAAACAGCAAAACGGTGAGTCGTGTGTGTACAAATTTATTTTGTTCTTTCAGTTCAAAGTCATATCTTTGCTCAATTGGTATGTTTTCTAAAAATCAAGGTAAAAGGGGGATATTAATTGATTGAATTGGTTAAGGGATTGGGAGATTGATTGCTCTGGTTCACATGTCGGACAGCTGGCCTGCTGTGCGGTTCGATCTAACGTTTTTAGATTTTTTAAGAAGAAAGGAAAAGATTGATTTAAGCACATTATTATCAAATAGTATCTCATTTCTCTTTTTTTTTACCTTGGTAAATTTACGTGCACTCTAATGGGGAGAAGGTGCATTTGAGAGATAAAAACTTTGACAGTGGTAGGATGCACACATGGATCATTTTTGGCAATCGTGTTGTCTCATCGTGTCTCATCTCTTTCTCCGCTTTCAAGGCTGGTCCTATACCTCACGAGCTACAGGTAAGATACCAGACGTGCAGGGATACCTTGTGGTCCATGTGATCAATTATGACCGTGAGTATTTTTTTTTCCTGAAAAGGTAGACTGTTAAGCTTATGTACAGTTGTAGGTTGACCACTGGCATGCAGTTTGGACTAGCGGATAAAAGCTTGCAAACGCATCCTTTGTTTTCGCAGTGGCATGTGAAAAAGGATTTAAATAGTGAATACTCAATAATGTGAGAAAGACCTCTGGGTTATTGGTTGTCGTTCCTTTCAAGAATTTTTGTACGCGAATATGTCGGCGTTCGTCAGCGTTGCGCGTGCCGGCCTTTTGACGCGGGAAAAACTTGAGGCAAGCCGCGACTGTGGTTAGTAAAGGCGGGAAAAAATTAGGAAAAGTGGAAAACAAGCACACATTCGACCAAGAGCTCGTAAAAACATGGCAAAATGCTGGAAAGAAAGCAGATTTAAGAAGGCAAGTGTTTTTGTCTTAACACATCTTTAAATCATTCATTCAACAATTAGTGAAAGGTCGCTAAAAATATCGCTATTTTTTTGGTTTCGCTTCTGAGGGTTCAGCTTTAATACTTTTCAGCACTCATGATAAAAATGCGCTGAACTGCTGTCCACAGCGCTAGAAATGGCAGATTTTTCTTAAGCCTACTTTGTCCGTATTAGTGAAAACGAAGCCGAACTGAGAGGACTGTTGAACATTCCAAGAACGACTATCACAAACGTTATATGCTAGCACCGAAGGAATGGCTCAGCGGCGAATTTGACACGGAATGAGAGGTAGGAGAACCTCATTCACGACTTTGTTTCATGTATTAGACTTCGCCGACTTGCATCCCGTCTCAATCAACAAGGCTTCAAACGCATTGTTCTTCTCAAATCTTTTAATAAATTCTTCAATTGCCATAGGGTTATCTTCGAGAAGTAAAATACTACAATGCAGCAGATGAGTCTTGCATTCAGGTGGTTTAGTGGCGCCGCCATATCCTTTGTTAATTTGATCATTTCAGTATCCTTTCAGCTGGTGTAGGTAGAATGCGCATGCAATTTTAAAATGCAGTTGCTTTATTCAACTATTTAATTGACATTTGCTTAAAGCATAACATTTGCATTACATTCTACTCATTTGCTTTGTCAGTGCGTGGCTCCGCCTAAAATGCTCTAGTCAGTATTTTGGGATGTTACACAATTTAGGCATCCTACTGATGAACAGTGACATATATTGTTATTTTGAGTTAAAACAATTTGCTGTTTGTCCCCTTTGACTATTAAACCATCTGGTTAAAAGAAACAGACCACTTACCTTACTATTTACTACCAAGCTGAACAAGTGTAAAACAGAATTTTAGTGAGAGACCTGTGAAGAGGGTGCTACTATCAGTAGGATATAAAAAAGAATTTGGCAAAAATGGAAATGATTGTTTAATGCTAAGCAAATAAAAATAAGAGAAGGTCAAGTGGTGTAAGCAGTGAACAGGAGATGAGAACTGAATTTGAGTTATATGCTCTATGGACTGCAGACTGCATGTGCTTGGTACAGACAACTGTGTTTATATTGGGCAAAAACATAAAGAAAAATGAAACCATTATCATATTTTTCCTTGCTGTGAATGGAAGGTAAAGATTTGGGGATGTATTTGTTGTAATGGTGTTCGAACTCTGGCTCTGTTAATTTGAAGGCAGCATGGAAATAGGCCTAAGAAATTAAATAAAATTGGTGGCTAAAGAAGCCAATCCCTGTGAATTTCAGTGTTCCAGCCAGAGTGCGCCATTGCGTGAATCCCGCAAAAGATCGAGAGATGGTCCCCACCAAAAGCGTTCAAGGGCCATTATGGCCCTTTCCTTCTTTAATTTCCTGGGCTTAAAAATGTCTCTGTTACTTCAACTACAATAATTTTCCAATAAAACAGAATTTTGAAATATCTAAAGAACAAGGACTCGGTATCTTTGTACACAACATGAAAATCAATCGATGAATCTTCTTGAGTTTACCTGATTTACCTTGAGTGGTCTGGAGACTACTGAGCCTCAACTTGGCTTTTGTAATATCGCAGGAGCTCATGGGTATCCATCATGGCGTCTCGAGAAAGGATGAACCTGACAAACGCATCTTCAAGGTCTATTGAAAGTTTTTTCTCAGTAAGTAATGGAAGAGTGGATGGAGGCAAAGCAGTTCAGGAGAAGCGAAAGGAGGCAAATCTTGATGGTGAAGTGGAAAATGAGATGAAAAAAACTACTTACTATTTTTATTGCATACATTCTGATTGTACTGTTTGCTTTATTACCAAAGATTTCCTCTATTGTGTATTTGTGTATAGACACGGATACTCCTTGTCAGCTTCAAATAAACTGCCATTTTCATTTCATTAACTTTCCAACTGTTTCTTCTTTTTTGCATATTGGAAAGATACTGGTACATTGGCCCTTTCTTGAAATATCTGGCCCCCAAAAATGGGTTGTAGGGGCCACTTTGGCCCTCAAGCAGAAATTTCTGGCTGGAACACTGGAATTTAAAATTTCTTGATGTAATTTACTGCCATCAAGACATGTTCTGGGTATGTGCGAATTGTCATTAAAGTCAAAGCCATTTCTTGTTGTCATTTCTTTCAACTTGCTGTTGACCTCACATAACTTTGTGGATGCACTAAGATCTTCTCTGTGCCCTTCTTCTTTTCTTTAAGGTTGATGTCAATGCCATGCTGTTGTAAGAATTCAATTGTCTTTGTTTGACCGAAGAAGTTTTTGTATATTATATTTGATCAGGTTTTCTGTTCAAAAGCCTTCTCACTCTTCCCAGGAATGAAATATCATAGTTGTAGTACCTTTGGCAATAGCAGAGATCTTGTTTTTCCCTTTGATATCCACTGAAGTAAAAAAGAGCATTTTGGACAAGAAGACGACCCCACAATTCGCTACGCTTCCATTTCGTCTGGTGTGTGTTGGTCAATGTCCTTGATGTTCATAGGTGGTTGAAGTTAAGTGGTTATTGTTTGGTGTGCAACACATAAATTATAAAAGAACAGGTATATGAATAATTATTACCAAAATACTTAATATCACCAGAAAAGGAAAATGAAAAGAGTTTTCCCAAACTTTCCCCCCAATTTTTAATAGCTAATCAAACCTGATCCCTCTGGAATGCAGGATCTCCAACACCGTGAAGGAGAAAGGTCACTGAACAGCATTTTTTACTAGTAATAGGTGGAAAAAGTTCTCAAAAATGCAGACAAAAAAGTTAACCTGCAAAGGCAGCAATACCAGTTTAGATGTTGCTATGGCAACCATTAAAATATAATTGAACCATAAAAACATAAACTTGCTGCTAATCGCTGGGCTGCATCAGCAAAAAACAATATGTGTTACCATAAGTTCTTAATGCAGTTGGTGCTCAGTTTAGGTGGATTTGCAATTTCCTTGATGCAAGGATGTTTGGTGTTTGGCTTTTCTCTAAGTAATTTTTACCTTTTTCCAACGAATACATAAATTTGTCACACTGCTTGTGGGCCACTTTACAGATCATGCTGTTTGTGTAATAAAGTCTTTGTTTTACTAAGGCATCACAAGGGGTGCAGCCCAAGGGTGAAATCTTGTTTTGCAAAGTTCGTGCGGGTCATGGAAAACAAGGAAAGTCATGGAATTTAATTGGCAGTCCTGCAAAGTCATTAAAAATTAAATTTATGTTAGATAGATTATATACTGCAGATGTCAAAGCAAGGACATTGTCAGATAAAGACTATAGTAATAAATTGGCGTGGAGTTTAGTGGACACTAGAGTTTGTGTCTGATGAACTGCGTTAGCCAATGTAAAAAAATACCCTAAAACAAGGAGGTTTTGAAAATATTCTGACAGCAGACCCTTAGGTCATAGAAAAAGTCATGGAACTTGAAAAGCTCAAAAGAGTACAAACCCTGTCTCTTCAGTCTCTTCACTCTCTCTTTAACAATCGGAATGCAAATAGGGGAGTGCCCTGAAGCACTTGGAAGTCTTTTGTTCTGTTACTCTGCATGTCATCCCCTATTTTAATATCTGAACACCAGACCAGACCTCGATGGAGGTGGATTATGCTTTCAGGAAACAACACACGATTCAGTCTGCCATATTGTATTTTGACACTCACCCTCAATGCATTACAAGCTTGGCTTACACAGGCAACCCTATGTACAAACACTACTCCTATTCTCTGTAGTTTCACACTCAGCGAGGACTCATTCTGGGTAACTCTAGGTACAACATGCCTTTCTAATCTTTTGTTTTTCTTTAAAAGAGTTGTTGCTCTTACTCTTGTGAAACTTATTTCTCAACAAGATTTCAACCAAGTATACATGCAAGTAAAAATTAGATTACAAATTTAGAATGTAAATTTTTAAGTGTATCTCTTTGTGTGGCTAACTTTGGATTCTATACAGTACAATTATTAATTGTTGTAGTCAGGGTTGCTACGGTCATGGAAAAATGAAAAGCCAGAAGCTAACATCTCCAAGTAAATCCTCTTTGCTTGGTCAATGTTGCTTGCCGCATCTGTCAAGCTGGCAGTGAAAATGGCAATGAGCGCACTGTTCTCCAGGAGGGTAATGTTGGAAAAAATGTCCCCTTCAGGGGTGACCCCTGTGAAGTGAAACCATATTTTAAAATGGTTCATTTAATTGACACAGACAGTCAGAAAATTGTGATCAAATCGCCTCAATTATTTAATGTAATGGAACTTTACAAAATAAGAGCGTAAAAGTTTAATATTATTTACATGGTAAAAATTAGATTACATCAGAATGTAAATTTTTAAGTGTATCGCTTTGTGTGTGGCTAACTTTGGATTCTATACAATAAGCAGCTAAATAAGTCCTCTCAAAATTCAGGTAATTTTTACAATCATAAAAAATGATGTAATTCTAAGTGATTTTAGTATTTGTTTTGTATAAAGACCTCCTCTTCACTAGATATTTTATTTACATTGTCTGCCTGTAAACACTATCCCCTTTGGTCCACTAAGGCAACTGGTGTGGAATACATCAAACATGACAGCCAATTAATTCCATCAGTGTACTGTGTAGTGTAATAGATATATAGTGATATATGGTGTAATAGATTATATAGCCGATCACAGGCATTCATCATAAATAGAATCCTTTATGGTAAAGACATAACTATTTGACACAAATGAAGAGTGTGATTTTACAACTTTTATTCACCTATATTTTGACCAGATACATCGGCCTTCCTCTGGACGAAAGACCTGAAAACATGTTACATGCCACTAAAAACATGTTGCAGTTAAAAGAAGATTAAAACAGTAATAGTGATTTTAATAACAATCGTAATGATAATTATAATAATGGTGATGATAATAATAGTAATAATGATAATACTAATAATGATAATAATAATAATAATAGGAGATAATTAAAAAGAAAGGAAGTCTTCTGGAGTGTTGAAAGTGCGATGCATGGGCTGTGTTCAGAGACCCTGATTATATTGTTGGTAATCCTAGTAAAGGAGAATCCTGCCCTTTCATATAATACACAGAGAGCCTTTATGTCCATTGTAGTGAGAGGAAGCATTGCCTGCACCCCAGGATAGACCTCCTGCGTGGTGCCATATATGAGAAAAATATGTCTCGCATCATATTATTGACTTGAGTTGGACAACAATGTAGCTGTGTTGTAATTGTATCACTTTACAGTAAAGGGGCTTGGAAAAAAATCCTGTGAAGGACAAGGGTTTTTTGTATCTGCATGAAACTTTTTAAGTTGATTTGCAATTTTTTCAGAAATTGACTATATGTAAAGTATCAATAATTGTTGAATTTGTATGTTGCAGTGAACTACTTTGAAGGGCAGCTGGTGTTTCTAACCCAAGGTAATCCAAAAATATGTTTGTAGTCTTGATGGAAGAGAGGCTTCTTGAGCAAACACAACGTTTCGAGAAAGAACGTCTGCGACAGAAACTCCATAAAAGCTGCGGAAAGGATTGAGAAGAGCCGGCTGTTTTCATATGCTACAGAAGGTACCTCCACAAATTAGCATTTCAATATTCGTGTACTTAACAATTATTCCTCGAGCCCGAATGGGCTCTGAGTCAACAGCCTATGAGGCTGAAGGCCGACTGGGCTATTGACTCAGAGACCATTCGGGCTCTTGGAATAATTGTTAATTAGTAACATCCTACTAGTTTGTGAAAAATATCGAGACAAAACAACTTGAGCTAGCGAAACCCAATCCAGTCGCGATTGTTTTCGTATTCAAAGCTGGAGCTTTTCGCTACCAGAGGACTATAACATATAACATATCGCCTAGTAGTAGCTCAACCAATCAGAACGCAGGGAGTGGGGAACGCAGAAAGTGGGGAAGTTGGTTGTGGCACAGGTGTTGCGATTTCCCGCGCATAACGACGGGCGCCCTCTCTTCAAATGAAAATGGCGGGAAAGTAATAATGCGCGGCGTCCGCCAGGCAGAAACGGCGGGAAAATCTTTGTGGCGTGATATAAATTTGGAGTCATAGGAAAAAAATTTTCATGCGCCCCAAGTGAAATGGGTGATTCCAGAAAATATCCATACCATACCATGGGCGGCATCTTGGAATTCCGAGGGAGAGGGGGGGTTTCTTGGACTGGAATTCCGAAGACGTGCGGGGGTAACGCAGTTTGGAATTCCAAAGGCATGGGGGGGTGTTTCAGCTCTGAATTCAGTGAATTTCCAGAGGAAAGACGGCGAAAGCTCCGCTTGAAATCGCTGACCTGTTAACATTCCCAGTTTGTAAATGAAGCACGAACCGACCACAGAAGAAGTATACGTTCATGCAGATGGGTAAGCAGATGGTTTGTGCAGCAAGCTCCACATCGAAGAGGCCTTAAAGTTGATGAATTAGTCAACTGATTAATAAAAATATAACCAAGTCGGTGTTTCTCGCCAATTGTCGATCGACGATGTGTTGTTGCGTGCTGAAAACTCGCACCAGTCTTTCATTTCCAAATAGAACGCCTGACAGATTTTGTATGTCACGCCGATTTTCACACCAACATGTAGGTAGTAAAATCCGACAGCGTGCCTTTTGATGCGCTGTTTAATTCAAAACTGTTTATGAACAGAATTCTTTTGCAGAGGGAAAAAGTGCAAGTTTCTCATTCGTTTGAAGATTTAGGCAGACGAACAGGAATTCCAAAGGGTCTGAAACAAAAGTGGAAAATTCCGGAGGAGAGGGGGGGTTAGTGATTTTGGAATTCGGAGGGCAAGGGGGGGATAAGCATTTTGGAATTTCCGAGGGCAAGGGGGGGTTAAAATACTCATGCCACCCGTGGTAGGGTATGGATATTTTCTGGAATCACCCAATGGCCAGTGAACACTCAGGTATGGCTTCATTTCTTATACTTTTATTACAGGCTGAACAACTACTAACATCATGGACTACATTGAATTCCGCGTTCCAGTGAATTGAATGATTGAAGCGATGTGTTTACCTAAGTCTGAGTCAATGAAATGTGCAATTTTAAAATATGGTTTCACTCCACAGGGCTCGCCCCTGAAGGGGACGTTTTTCTCAGCGTCACATTCCCGGAGAACTCCCCGTTAATACAAAACTTCACCGCTACATTGACTGATGCGGCAGCTGACGAAGAACGAGCTAAAAAAATGTACCTGGACACATTAGCTCCAGGAACGGTAAGCCCTCCAGTTTTGTTAGGCGAACCCCAGGATGACGCTAATATTAACATTTACATACTTGGATTAACAAAATACACTGTGACATATGTTCCTGGTTTTGTTACTGTTTTTCTCTATGCTCTTACTATGCTCATTTTCCGGATTACAAGAATTATTTCAAGGGGAAAATGGTTCAACCACATCAGTCTTTCTTGTTTGGAAAATGTCCAAAATTTGGGTCGGTCAGACGACGGCAAACAGAGAAAAAAAAAGGCCTAACACTATGAGTAAACAACACAAGTGTCTGTATGTGGACAACACCACCTTTATCAGTCTCTCACCAGACATTTTATTATTATTTAGATAAAATCCATCGTTGATGCCAGGCAACTCTATCTAGCCTGGCATAAAGAAGCAAAGGCGGGGGGTAGCTGTAAGCTTCCCCTCACCCAAACTTGCAATAAAAACATTCTGAGTGGCCTGCGCAAAGGCAGGATTTTCTTGCAAGAGAATCCTCAACAACATTTTCCATGGTCTGTGTATGTGGGTAAGTGGACATCAAAATACCTAATAATTAAAATACAAATACTCATTAGTAACTATCATCATTCAATGCACTTTTTGGTCATCTCAACTGCTTACATGTGTATCAGGTCACAATTTCTTGCATAACAGATAATCAAGTGGACCAGTTACGCCGCTTGGGGGGGCTGGTCAGTAACATCAGGGGTGGTACACCTGTATGTCAAAAAAATTATAGAGCAGTACTCCGACAGTGCTGGTTTAATAACTCCTGGTAGGTATACGAGTTTGAAGTTGCACATGCGAATTAGAGAAAGATACGGACTATGATTAGTACCTACTCCGTGTTGAGAACCATGGGTTTTTTGGGAACAACAAACCATCATTTGCTTAAAACAGCAGTGTTCAAGAAGGCTATGAATATTGGTTAGCTTTCCACGTACTTTGATATTGTTTTGACTCCAGTTGTTCTATCAGAAGCGGATGTGTACTTTATGTCATCATAAAATGAATCCCTTGCATGCCAGAAGAGCAGGTGGCTCTGTTTCAGAAAAAAGGTGTTTATCATATGTGTAAGTACTAATGCTCCTTTTCCCTTGAAAGGATTACGCACCCCTGAGGAGTGTCAAGACAGATTACGGGGCATTCTAACCGCGTACAATTACCGGTTGGAAGCCCCGTTGCGAAATTTGCGAACGCAAGGAGATGCACAGGAATTGTACCCCACGGAATTGGAGGCATTTTTAAATAACCATCAGGCCCTGAAGAAGGCACGGGGTAAGTTAAGAATTGACACCCTTAATTAAAAAATTTGCAATTGATCCAGAATAGCAGCACCAACCCTTATCACTGTAGGTTGGGGAAGTACCCATATTGCAATAAAAGGTTGTGCTCCCCTTCTCCCAGTGTGAACCTTTTGGGCTTCTGTGAAGCAAACGCAAGACAACCAATATACATCAATATATCATTACTGTTTCCAAAGATGCGACCTGTATGCCTGTGTACTCAGATTCTCCTACATACCTTTAAAAATGTGAATCAGTTTACAGTGAGAGTGCAGAATCGGGGAAATGAAAGAAGGTTAAGCAAGCCTGTGTCAATAATCTGGTCTGCGGGATAATTCCTATACAAGATCTTCAGAAAACGTTTCAATGGAAATTCTAAGGGTTTGTTTTCCGGCGCCCTGTTCGTGCCCCTTTGAGCACCAATATGGCCCGCGCTCTTTACTTTGACAACTTAATGTGCATGAATTTATCATAAACTTGGAAGAGTCAACAGTTTCTTAGTTTGAATCTTGGGGTAGTCACGCGAAAATCCCTAGTTGTATGAGACCCCTTCTTACCGTAATAATCATTGCTCATTGCTTGTCAGGGTTCAAATGACACTGTACCTTCATCAACATTGTGATAATGTCATCATCAATGTCCTGATTTCAAATATATTTGAATTGCAGAAGAAAACAAGGAACAAAAAACTCTTACATCCTTAAAGGCATCTGCCGTCAGGGCATTCTGCCGGCAAAAAAACGCCGCATTACACGATGCCAGGAAGAAACAGCCGCCTACTCCTCCAAAAGAGGTAAAATGTTTGCACCTTGCAAGGCGAAATCCTACAAAGGACTTTTCCTACCTTTATTTCGCCTGCTGTCCTGTCTGTCTCTGCCATCCGATCGGCTTGCTCAGTTTAGCAATTCTCTTTGTGTTCCTTGCACCCCATTGTCTGCAAAAAAAGATTTGCCACTGTGCATGAGAAAAGTGCCACACAAACGAAGAGGAGCCAAATCCAACAACTCACACTACTGAATACGTCTGATATTATAACAATCATGACAAGATAACAATGAATAAAAAACAGGTGCAACAGGACTGTAAGACAGTCGACAAGAAGATATTGATGTCCTAAGGTCTGTAGTGCGAATGCAATCTGACATGCACTAGTGCGGGTGCATATACTTTACTCACAATTTGCACAACTTGTGCATCCCCAACTGTCTGTAAATATAGGGAACACAGACAAGTTGAAGATCTCTAAGTAAGGCATTTGCACTTGACACTGCATTTTACAGCAATTATCATTTTTATAACGAAACTGTGTGATCTCCATTTAGAAAACAACACGCCGACTGGACATCGTTGCCATGTGCAGGTCCTGGCAACCGCACATGGCGGCGTTGCCCAGTGCCACTGTCCACTTGGACCCAAGGTCCAGGTGGACACCCCCCATGGAAGAAGATGGCCATTTCACCTTTCCGGAACAATTCAAGTGCCCCTTCTATGAATGCGACGTCATGTGTGGGACTGCGGATGAGTGTATTCGACATGTCAGCGAACTAAAGCACCCCAAGAGGACGCCAAGAGACTCGCCTCAGTGGGTTTGTGTTGGTAGGTCATGTATAATAAAGATTCCGTAAAGTTAAAGAAATGACTTGAGTGACCATTTGTAATAACCGATCAGATAGCACGAAGAAAAGAAGATGAGGAAATGATCTATTTGTTAGGCTGATCAAATTTCCTTCAAGAAACTTGAATTAAAATAAAGATGGAAAAAAGGTAGAAAAATGACTTTTTCATGTTTACAATCACAGCTGGCTTGCAGCGTGCAAAGAAAGTGGTGTACGATAACCCGGAGACCTCCAAATATAGACTGTCCACTAATTTAGTTTATTGGCACAAGGATTCTTATGATATGCATAGCGCATTCGACCATACATAAATTCCATAGCAACAGTTACATGTGACAACATTATACTGTATGCATGGCCATTTTCTCACTTTACTGCATAGAGTTTGAACATTTCACCTTACAATAGAAATTTACTTGCATTACTGTCCTTTGTCTTTTAACAGCAGACGATAGAAAGTTCACCTCCCTTGACGGACTTCGCCTCCATCTGAATACCATGCATTTACCAAAGAGACTGCACTGCGAGCACTGTGACTACATCACAAATAGTGCTACACACCTCAAGAGGCATGCAAAAAGGCAGCATGAGATGGCCAATCTGCAGGTCAAGCGGTGGAAGCACGAACAATAGACAGATTACGAACAATGCGATGGCAAACGTGACATTGTAAATCTAGTTTTCACCTTTATTCCTCTTTTTGGCTCGAAAGTGCCACGAAATTTTTGGTGGCCTCCCATAAGTTTGATCCCCAGAATTTAGTGCACTTGAAATCCTCACTTAGGAAATTACCAAATTGAATCGTACATTTACCAATATTGCACAGAATCAGTGATTTAATAATCTCTCTATTGTTCGAACTTCCACAGCTTTTTCTCATTGCTGGGATGGCTGTCTCTGTTTTCCATCTTTTCAGTTTCATGTTGTTTGCTTTGGCTGTCCTCTGCCATGGGTTTGGCCCTTTAGTTCTACCACGCAGCGCGCCATCCATGTATTTTGGTTAGTGTGGCATTGGGTCTCATCGATTGCTCGTACCCCGACTGTTACCTGTCCCAGGCTTGGCCCTTTCATTCCATCCTATAGCGCGTCATCTGTGGACTTTGGTGCAGTCAGGGTGCTGATGAACGGCCTACATACTTGGATTAACAAAATACACTGTGACATATGTTCCTGGTTTTGTTACTGTTTTTCTCTATGCTCTTACTATGCTCATTTTCCGGATTACAAGAATTATTTCAAGGAGAAAATGGTTCAACTACATCAGTCTTTCTTGTTTGGAAAATGCCCAAAATTTGGGTCGGTCAGACCACACCAAACGGAAAAAAAAATGGCCTAACGCTATACGTAAACAATACAAGTGTCTGTATGTGGACAACACCACCTTTATCAGTCTCTCACCAGACATTTTATTATTATTTAGATAAAATCCATTGTTGATGCCAGGCAACTGTATCTAGCCTGGCATAAAGAAGCAAATGCGGGGGTAGCTGTAAGCTTCCCCTTACCCGAAATTGGGATAAAAACATTCTGCGTGGCCTGCGCAAAGGCAGGATTTTCTTGCAAGAGAATCCTCAACAACATTTTCCATGGTCTGTGTATGTGGGTAAGTGGACATCAAAATACCTAATAATTAAAATACAAATACTCATTAGTAACTATCATCATTCAATGCACTTTTTGGTCATCTCAACTGCTTACATGTGTATCAGGTCACAATTTCTTGCATAACATTGAGAGTTTTTTTTTAGAATCTCTTCATACACCTTTTTGGTGGTGTGATTACATTAGTTGTATTTCCTATTTAATATGTTACATGATGATTTCTTTGCAATTACTTTTAGACGAATATATATTTATTGCAAAATTACATAGCTCGGGTACAACGGTTGCATTGTGCTTGACCTAATCAATCCATGTTTTTTTTTGGAAGCTGTTCAGTTACCTTTTTAGTTCTGCGATTACATTAGTTGTATTTCCTATTTAATATATTAGACAAGTTCTACAAAGCACTTAATTTCCAATGAATATCAGTATATATTTAGTACAAAATTACATAGCCAGGCTATAACAGTCACACTGTCCTTGAAATAATCACTCCAACCAACTGTGAATAATTTCAACATATCAAGTGGACTGTCTTGACATCATGCATACAACTCTGACATGTCATGTTTTTGGAGCAGGTAACTCAAATTCTGTGTCCCATCCTAGTTTTACTGATATGCAGGTTTCCTTCATTTTCAGCAAACTTCCAATGGCCATCTTAGCCCCGCAAAAGAGTTCCCTGAGTTGGGGAAAACGTTAATTCGCTTCCTACAGAACGAAGTTGGGGAGGTCGATCTACACCCCAAGAAGCCAATGTTTGTGCAGAATTTTGAACATATCCTGGACACCATTGGCTTGGACACACCTGCTGCGATGCAATGTAAGCGGATAAGATGAAAGTATTTTGTAATATTGTATGCCTCTAATTCATAAAAATGAACTTGTTAATCTCGAGTTTTCTGGTAATGCATATCGTTCGTATAGGCATGTGCTCAAGACAGAGTGCTTCTATAAACTCCTTTCATAGATATGTATTGTGTTGATTTTATACTCACCTATGATGATTGTAAGGTGATAGTTGAGCGTCCTTGTTGAAATACCCCATAAACACGACCTGCCAATACAGGGGACGAAAATTAGCACTGAGATTTGACATAGCATACACGACATGTCATTTATAACGAAATGTTGACATAAATCGTCAAAAACGAAAGGTTATGATAAAACAGAATAATTAATTAAGAATGTGCATTACAGTTTTAGACAGAATGTAAGTTCCAATGTTATGTCAATGAGTATGGAACAGTATGAATCAAGAATGTAGACGTGTAGGAATGATTAAGTAAGTTATGATCCCTCTTGTTTTCCAGTATCCTTCCTACACAGTTTATCGGCACACTGCGGCGCCCGTGCTGGCACTATTGTGCAAACTCATGTATCGACTGAGTATAGAAGCATCAGGGAGAACCTAGGATTAGGGGAGTTTCCCCTTTCCCGGGGGATCAAAGTTAAAGATGTAACGTTCAGGTATCCTTGTTAAATCTTCTCTCAGTATTACACTCAGTATTAAGATCCTGACTTTGACACCCGGGGGAGGGGGGGGTTACTTTAGGAATTTCTGGGTGGGGATGTGCTGCCAGGAGCCTGGAACCCTTAACCTCTACCAGAGCTAGTTCAGCTGAATTTTGCTACCCTATACTAGAGTAAACTCCCCAAATCCCCCTATCCTAGAGTAGCTGTGTACCTAGTCTAGATAAAATCTTCAACCAACTGATCAGTTCCCTGAAAAATGATACCCTATTCTAGAGCCAAATGCTCTGATTTATATACCCTATCCTAGAGTACACTGCTTGAAAACCATACAGCGGCACATACCTATACAGCTCATATATGGCAGTACCCCCCCCCGGCTTTGACAATGTCAATGATCTCCCCTGACTTTTCCCTGAACTTGAGAAATTTTCATTCTTCCCTGACTTTACCTGACCATAGCAACACTGACTGCAATAATTTGGTACTTTGTGCTTTTGGTGCATATCACATTTCTGGACTTTGAGACTCCACACTCATTCACCTAAGCTGCTTTATTGAGATGATGATGCAAATACCAGTTTCCAGTATTATTAAGTAAGTTAGTGGTTTCCTTTGCAATGAAACAACGAAACTGAATACAATGCACAGACCTATGAACTTCCACATTTTCGTCCCAGAAGACCTCTGGGAAGTCTTTGAGTAGTACTTAGTTGAGTTTCCACCCAATAATCATAAAAGTTATCTCCATTTTTGGGGCCCATTAGAATCACAAAGCAGACACCATGGGGTGACCATGGAGGTTGTTTTCAGGCATGAAAAACCTGAGGCGAATAACATGGCACACAGGTAAAGATAAACACTCATTCGGTGAATACACATGTTTACTTACCACTGGAAATGCAAACTTCCTCCTTATACAATCACCACCAAATATGAGGACCTTAAAAAGGGCCTTTGTAAATTGTAATAGAGAGAGACAGGATGTTTAGTTTTTCTCCGCGGAAGCTGAGTTAAAGTAAATGAAATATGTGTATACATGTATCTATCTGATTCAATGGTTTCGAGTTAATATCACTGTTGTACATTTTCTTAATATCAATTGGGAAAAGGAAACCTAGATACTAACCTTCGAAAAATAAATCTAACCTAGGTTAGTAGAAAGAAATCAAAAAACGTGGCAAGCAATCATTCCCATCTATTTTTTAATAAATTCCTTCGGTTGCAGTCACGCAAATCGTTGGGAAATTTATTTCCAAAAATGCACTCTTATAGCCAAGACAGTATTTTCGTTTGTTGTTACATTCGTCTCATTTCTTTTTACAAATTGATTTTCAAACGCTGTTTCTCTTTCTGCATAGTCGAGTATTCACATACTCCCCCCCTTGAAGATGGAAGCCCATATTGCCCTGTTGCCTTGGGCTTTCTCCATCTAGCCAGGCGCGGGGCATTCCTCAAGGACCCAATTGAGGCCTGGGAGAGCCAGGATTTCTCAATGAGGGAGAGGGTAGGAGATTGGCGGCTCTTCTGCCAGACGGATACGTGGACGCAGACACTTAAGGTGAGATCAAATCTTCCAGTACATTTGGTTGGCAGAAAACAATGTGATAGTAATCTCTCCTACGTTACAACATTAACATTTATTTTTAAACACTGTTTATAAAATAAATTGACTGAGATCACATCTTCCTGATAGAGTTGGCTGGGGCAAAGGTGTCTCTTTTGTTGTGGGGGGAGGGGAAGGGGAAGATATGGTACCTTCCTTCATAATATCTCCTTGATTTTGCGCATAATGATGTGTTCTTTTTCAAACATTCTTGTATTCAGTCACCACAGCTAAATGGCCTGCAGATGGGCATAATGGTCCACAACAGTGTCCAGGACGCAGGATTTGATGCGAGGGAGCTCTCGCACAGTTCATATAGATCTGTAAGTATGCCTGCATTGTTTATCAAATTTAATGCCCCTAGCAATTTGTGGACTTGTGCAGTTATGTGAAACATGTTCATTTGGCAACAGTGATCATTCAAACGTTAATGCCACAACCAAAAGCAAATGACCGATAACTGATGCCACTTGATAATTGTTTGTCTTTAACAATTCCATGCAATGCACTTTGCAGACACTGCATGAGCGGCAAAAGACAAGTAAATCATACCGATTATTAACAAGTATTTAAATATTCATTTTATACCATGTAATGCAGACTTTACTCACATACCTTATTGGCGCCAATGGAGTTTCATAGATGGACTGAACAATCAGACTCCTGTTCTCCTCTTTAGGGCTTTGCAACAAGATTTGTATTAACAGCGGCTATGGAGAATGGCGGCCACTTTATCGATGGTCAAGTGGACCAGCTACGCCGCTTGGGGGGCTGGTCAGTCGCTTCAGGGGTGGTCCACTTGTACGTAAAAAAAATAATAGAGCAGTATTCCGACAGTGCTGGCTTGATAACTCCTGGTTAAATTAAGGTATGTGAGTAATGTCTGCATTACATTGTATGAAATGAATAATACTTTTTTTTGATTGTTATAAAAATTTACCGACGGGCACCCTCTCTTCAAATGAAAATGGCGGGAAGTAATAATGCGCGGCGTCCGCCAAGCAGAAAAGGTGGGAAAATCTTTGTGGCGTGATATAAATTTGGAGGCAAGGGAAAAAATTTTCACTTGCCCCAAGTGAAATGGCCAGTGAACACTCAGTTATGGCTTCATTTCTTATACTTTTATTACAGGCTAAACAACAACTAACGTTGTGGACCACATTGATTGAAGCGATGTGTTTACATTTTTTTAAAGTCTGAGTCAATGAAATGTGCAATTTTAAAATATGGTTTTCACTCCACAGGGCTCACCTCGGAAGGGGACGTTTTCCTCAATATCACATTCCCAGAGAACTCTTCCTTAATCCAAAACTTCACCGCCACGTTGAGTGATGTGGCAGGGGACGAGGAACGGACTAAAAAAATGTACCTGGACACATTAGCTCCAGGAACGGTAAGCCCTCTTGTTTTGTTATGCCAACACAAGGACTACGCTTAAGTTAACACTTACATACTTGGATTAAGAAAAGACATGTTCCTGGTTTTGTTACTGTTTTTCTTTATGCTCTTACTATGCTCATTTTCCGGATTACAAGAATTATTTCATGGGGGAAATGGTTCAACCATGACAGTCTTTCTTGTTTGGAAAAATTAATGTCCAAAATTTGGGTCGGTCAGACGACGGCAAACAGAGAAAAAAAAAAAGGCCTAACGCTATACGTAAACAATACAAGTGTCTGTATGTGGACAACACCACCTTTAGCAGTCTCTCACCAGACATTTCTTTTTATTTAGATAAAATCCATCGTTGATGCCCAGGCAACTCTATCTAGCCTGGCATAAAGAAGCAAAGGCGGGGGTAGCTGTAAGCTTCCCCTTAGCCGAACTTGCAATAAAAACATTCTGCGTGGCCTGTGCAAAGGCAGGATTTTCTTCCAAGAGAATCCTCAACAACATTTTCCGTGGTCACATTATTTGGTCATCTCAACTGCTTACATGTGTATCAGGTCACAATCTCTTGCATAACATTGAGAGTTTTTTTTTCAGAAGCACTTCATCCGCCTTTTTGGTGGTGCGATTACATTAGTTGTATTTCCTATTTAATATGTTATATTTATTGCAAAATTACATAGCTCGGGTACAACGGTTCCATTGTGCTTGAACTAATCAGTCCATCCATCTGTGAATAATTTCAGCATGGCAAGCAGCCTGTATCGACTGCATGCATATAACCGTAACAGCCAATGTTTTGGGAGAACGTAATTCCACTTTTGAGTCTCATCCAACTTCAACTAATAGGCACGTCTCCTTTATTTTCAGCAAGTTCCCAATGGACACATGAGTCCAGCAAAGCAGTTCCCTGAATTAGGTTAAACTTTGAGCCGGGTTTTGCGCAAAGAATTAAGTGAAAAAGATCTGCACCCCAAGAAGCCAATGTTTGCCCAGGATTTTGAACATATCCTAGACACTATTGGCGTGGAGACTGCAGCCGCATTGCAACGTAAGTGTGTCACATTGTATGCCACTGATTTATAAAAAATGAACTTGGTAATCTCCAGTTTTCTGCCTATGCATATTTTTTCTATAGGCGAGTTCAGGACAGAGAGCTTGTATAAACAAGTAGCATAAAATGTATTGTGAAAATTAAATAATGTATACTCACCTGTGACGATTGTAAAGTGATAGTTGGATGTCCTTGTTAAAATACACTATAATTATGACCTACAGAGAAAGGAAAGAAAACTCAGAACTGAGGTTTGAAATGGCACGCAAGGCACGTCCGTTATAGGCAAATGCTGAGGTTAACATAAAAAACAAGGGTTACCATCACACAGAATTAAGAATGTGCATTGGAAGTTTCGGTCAGATATGTAACTTCCAGAATTCTGGTAATGACTAAGGAAGACCATGAATAGAGGATGTAGACATGTAATAAGTATTACATAACTTATGATCTCCTTTCTTTTCCAGTATCCTTCCTCCACAGTTTGTCAGCTCACTGTGGTGCCAGAGGAGGAACAATTGTACAAATGTCTGGTACCCCGGCCTATACACAGCTCAGAGAAGAGCTGGGATTAGGGGAGTTTCCCCTTTCTTAGGGAATCAAAGTAGGGGATGTCACGTTCAGGTATCCTTGTTAAATTGTTACTAACCCGGACATAAACGACCATAATTAGTTACTTTTTGTACGTATCGCATTTTTTGAGCCTTGAGACTCATCACTCATATTAGGCACTTACTTGAGACAATGATGCGCATATCAATTTCTGCCTTTGTTGGGGATTAATAGGTTTCCTTTGAAATGAACCAACAAATGGGAATATAGTGCACAGACGTAAGAATTCCAACATTTTGTCCGTTCATCCCAGGAGACCTAGGGGAAGTCTCTAAGTAGTACTTAGTAGAGTTTTGAACGCATAGTCATAAACGTCCTTTCCATTTTTAGGGGTAGAAGCACATCCACCTCACAACAGGATGTTGTCACGGAGGTTGTTTTCGTGCACGAGAAGCCGGAGGCAGACAATCTCACACACAGGTAAAGATAACTAGTCCTTCGGACAATAACAAGATTTACTTACATTTGTTAATGCAAACTGCCTCCAGAATATAAGCATCTTGAGAAATGAGTCCATCAAAGAAGGCCTTTGGAAAATAGACGAGAGAGAGAGAAATCTCATTTACACTCAAGTTCTCACACCTAAAGCTGAGTTAAATTACGTAAAATATGTGTATGTTTTTTAGCAGGTTCGAGTTCATATTAATTAGTTGTGTAAAAAGAAAAAAATATTTGTAAAAGTAGGTATTAACCGGCTTACTGTAGTTTGCGAAACGAAATGGAGCGAAACAAAATGAAACGAAACGAAATGGAACGAAACGAAATGAAAATCTGTAGTTTGCAAAATGAAAATCTGTCGTTTGCGAAATGAGAGTCTGTAGTTTGCGAGATGAAAATCTGTAGTTTGCGAAATGAAAATCCTCTGGAGAATGCCGACTTCAAATTCAGCGTGAACAACGAAGGAGAAGACAGAAGGAACATCGCTTAGCACAGCGAAGGCAACGCCGACAACAAGAGACAGAGGAATAGGAGATTGGAATCAGAGGCATTATGATCGTTTTACACTGTCGAAAACCCAGATTTCTTAGTTTGCCGGTTTCCCCGCCGATATATAGATCAAAGTCTGCAAAGTTCCAGCTCTGTATTACGGCCCGAAGAATAGTAATTTTCGGGCGAACTGCACCCGGCCGTATTTGTTCTTCGTTTTTTTCCTTTTCTAAATCCGGACGCAGAAATAATGCTAAATCTGCTTTTCAATACACTGTTAACAATAATACCACATAATACGCAAAAAAGAAGAAGATGAAAGAAAGAACAACGGATGGACCTTTAAGACGATATTCGCGGTGGGTCACCCATCCAGTTCGTAAGGATGTTACTAAAACGGGGAGCGGGGAGCGGGGAACGGGGAACGGAAGTCTGGGAACGAGTTGTCAGCGGAAACCTCCATAAAAATCCAAAATGGCCGGTAAGGATCAAGAACCCGGTAAGATCGATGATAGAGAAGCGTCGAAACAACACTTAAGGTCGCTATTTTACTAATGAACTATATGCTCATGAGGTGCTTGAAATAATACGGAGGTAATAATGTCATGACATTTTGCACCTTTCTGCGTTTTACTAAACAACAAAATATGCTTCAACAGCAGTTGAAAGGAGCTACAGTCGGGACAAAAACTCTCAAAGCACAGCCATATTTGGAACTCAAGCGAATCTATACTGGGTCTAACTCACAAAGCTATGAAATACTTTTGCTTGACGCTTTTAGTACGGTTTTGGCTTAAATACATGCTGAAAGATAACTTAGATCGAAGCAGCCAGGTGTATTTCCTCGACAGTAATAGTGTAGCAGCGGAGCTCCTTCCTAGCTGTAGCGTTTTTTCAAGCCCAAATTAAAACATGTTGGCGATGAGATAAAACTGTAAGTCTAATAATATTATATTTACAAACCTATGATGAGAGGTAAGTGCAATTGTATTATTTGAAAAGATAAGATGGATCAGGTTATTTAATACATCAATAAAAGGCAACTTTAAACATATTAACGGGCAATGTGCCAGGAACATCAATCATACCTTGGTCTTAAAGATGCCAGTTGTTTCAAAGCAAATGGCTATGCTGTGGTTTTATTTTATTATAACCTAGGTGTAAATTTTGCTTCCCTTTGTTTGGGGGTAGGGTAATATGAATTTTATGATTATGAGTTCAAAACAAAGAGGCTCTGCCCCAGGGACCAACCCTTTACCCTTTGTATGTACCATTTTAGACAGAAAAGGTACCCCTTTTGTATACCCTCTAGTGACAAATGGTACCCCTTTCACATACCTAATTTAGAATGCTGCATCCCTTTTTAACTGCTGTAAATACATCATCTTTACAATATGAATAAATAGCTAAAATAGGTTTTCTTGTCTCTCACATCCATAAAATTCATCTGTGACTGATCTCATTTTGGTCCCTTTCATATACTTCAACTGTAAAAACCCCTTCCCTTTCATGTACCTGAAGCCTGAATAAGGCTTCAGGCTCTGTTTAGGCCATTATAGTACCCCCTCCTCCTGCACCGAGAACAGTACTTGATACAGCGATATTGTATGGTATGAATTGCACCAAACGTTTCGTGCCCATGAAGAGGTACTTTGATTATTTTACAACATTTTTCTTCAAAATGGAGAGGTTTGGGATCTCATTCTTAGGGGGGCGGGGGGTTAATTGAGGATCTGCAGTGAGTGAGAATGTTGCATTCAATGCAATCCAATGGTTTTGATTCAGGAAAGGGTCGTGAGGGGTATTTCGCAGAAAGACAAATGGCCACTGTACGACTTTGAAGCAGTTACTGATTAGGGTGAGGAAAATGAGTGAATTAGGTTTCATTAGGGTCATTATACAGGTCTATACTGGGCAAACTGACCTGAAACAAATTGTTTCACAAAATAATAAACTGATATTATTTTATTTTCATGGATCAGTGAAACACTCCAATATCGTGAATGCTTGCAGTGTAGTAGATCTAATAATATTAAAAGCAGAACCAGATTGTTAAAGTAGTCTCACTAATTATGTGATGACCTGGTCAATAACATTTTTCAAAGCAGTCATCTCTATCAAAGGAAATACAAGAAAACTGCACACAAGCTACTTGACTACTTCGATGTATGTTATCTATCATGGAAAAGTAGTTCATTGCTTTGTGGGCTAGACTCAGTATGGATTCGCTTGAGTTCCAAATATGGCTGTACATGTGCTTTGAGACTTTTTGTCCCGATTGGCTTCTTTCAACTGCTGTTGGAGCATATTTTGTTTCCTACGGATAATTGTTTAGTAAAACGCAAAGAGGTGAAAAACGTCATGAAGTTATTACCTCCGTAATTATTTCAAGCACCTCATGAGCATATAGTTCAAGTAAAATAACGCCGTTATCGGTTAAGTTTGTTTCGACGGTTCTCTATCATCGATCATCGGCCATATTGGATTTTTATGGAGGTTTCCGCTGACAACTCGTTCCCAGACTTCTGTTCCCCGTTCCCCGCTCCCCGCTCCCCGTTCCCCGTTTTAGTAACATCCAGTTCGTAACCCCGACCGACAGGGCTTAACTTGAGCGCCTGAGCTTAAGTTAAATTTTTCTGGGCGAAATAGCTCTTATGGGGGAATTTTCTGTTTAGAATATCCGAGTAGACGCAACGAGAATAGACTACGAGTAGTCCCCTATTTTTCCTACATCTACAGATTTTCATTTCGGAAACTACAGATTCTCATTTGGCAAACTATAGATTCTGTAGTTTGCGAAATGACAGTCTGTAGTTTACGAAATGACAATTAACTTTCTCGTTGCATCTACTCCATTCCTTCAGGAGCATTGATGCAAATCCTCATGTAATTTATTCCCAAAAATGCACCCTTATAGCCAAGACGTCTTTGGTCATAATAAAGAGGTGTCCTCAGTATCATAGGTGGTCCTAACTTTCAACAAGACGCTACGGAGCTAGCGTACACTTCGGCGTCGTGGTTGTGGAACTAATTAATTGTAAATGCGGAGGAATAGTAGGAAATCAAATATGGTAACTCGGTAAGACTAAGGTGTGAAATTATGGGATTTGTCAGGATACTCTGAAAAGAGCAACTTCCAAGAGGCGTACTTGCCAAAAACTAGCATTTCAGGACAAATTGTCTCCGCGATATTAGCCCAGTTATGCTCTGATGACTCCACACAAATCCTTCTAAAAAACAATTCTCTATTTTTCTTAGTCACATCAGGCTTCAAAAACAGCATAGCAGTCTCATGTACTGATTAAAGATATGTAAGGCATGGGTAAGGAGTCAATTACGTTGAGCTTGGAATTGGCTAAAACTCAAAGTCACGAGCTCAAAACTTTTGAGGATAATTATTCACTGACTATCAGCACGCAGGGATGTCGGATAACACAAGGAAGTTTAACACCAAAGAAACATAGCCTTTACAGAGCTTTAAAACACAGCATCCGCCAACACAAACTTGACTTGAAGTTTGAGTAAAACTAAACAGCCTCTACCAATAATAACAAACTCTCACTTGAACTTCAGATATCTTACGGCTTCCGCGAACTTGTAAACACAGAACCTGAAAATCGACCTTCGTCACACTTGACTAAACACAGCAGTCCAGCTCGTGGGAAAATACTTAGTTCTTCAAAAGAACTCGCTTGGAACTTGTATACCGTTTGACACAAGGTTCTAGAAAATACTAAACAGGCGAATAGTAGTAGCTTTTCGACATATTTTATGATTTCAGTAACTGATGCAAATCTGCTGACTCATGCTGAAATGCAAACATGCCCTAATTAATTATTCATGGAATCCAAAAACGTAGAGAACGTTCGAGAAAGTCACGCAACGCATGAAAGCAATTTTACTACGTAACACTCAGCAAAGACAAAATGTCTTTGTACAGCATTTTGTAACTTTAAATTCATCATGAAACAGTTCGAAAGGCGGGCTCACTCGTGAAATGTTTTTCAACACTCGAAGAGAAATTTCGTGTCTCTGCGCGGCCACAAAATATCCTCTATTTATTCCTCAAGTAATTAAAGACTAAACTCGAAGTGATCTCAAGATATCACGAAGTAGTCCGATCTCATTTCGTGAAATAGTTGAAACAAGCTGAAAAGTCACGAACTTGCACGCCCAATCTTGTCCCGAAACTAGTGCATCATTTCGTAACTATTTTTCATATCCCAAACTACCTTGGGTCGCAGTAGCGCAATTGGCTAATCCCTCAACTTAGAGTCTCCTCTGATCTGACGGGTCACACAGGGAAGGCCAAAATAGTAATTCTTTCTTCCTCGAAAAAGTTAAAGCTTAAATCAAAGAAATCGAAGTGATCTCGAGATATCTCGAACTAATTCGGGTCTCTCTTCGTCAAATAGCCGAATAGAGCTGAAAACCTACAGACTTTGCTTGCCCAATCTTGTCAAAAAATTGCAACTTTGATACATTCCTGAGCGTCGCGAATCCTTTACTTCGCACTCCGCCGAAGTAAAAACTTTTTGGGGATGGCGATTCAGGCGCCATATTGTCTTACACATTGAACATTTCTATAGCAAGGACCTTTCTTCTGTAAATGGAAAGGTTGTCCCATCCTTCCTCCTCTAGCAGGGGCCCAGTGCTAGGATCATAAATGGAAAAGGTTATGATCATAGCCGTGCGATGTTGTATGGTTTTGAAGCTTTGGAGCTAGATCTGAACCAAGATGCCACCCAGATAACACTGCAATAGTCAAAGAATGGTTAGATAAAAGAGTTGTACATTGTTTGCCGGGATCAATGGAGGAACAAATTGTCTCACACGCTTAAGCGCTCCTAGATCCTACAAACAATTCTTCTGCTTTTGTGCTGTTAGTAGCCGCTGGGCATATTTTCGGTATTGTCGTTTGCTTTTACATTCTTCTGATTTTTCATGCAAATGGATTTTCAAACCTTATTTCTCTTTATGCATAGTCGAGTCTTCACATACACGCCACTAGAACCTGGCAGCCCCTACTGCCCCGTTGCCTTGGGCTTCCTCCACCTTGCAAGGCGCGGGGCATTTCGCAAGAGCCCCATAGAGGCATGGACTTCAAAAAACTTTCAAAAACGAGAAGGTGTGGCAGAGTGGCCGCTATTTTGTCAAGTGGATACATCCACCCAAACTCCAAAGGTGAGATCATAAATGTACATCTCAGTGCAGTTGTTTGGGAGAAAAGAACATGATATCAATCCCTCCTCCGTTATGAAACTAATATCATTTTTTAAACGGTGTGTATAAAATTAAGTGATTGGATCAAATCTTCCTCATAGGCCTGTAGGGTCGTAGGGAAGCAGGTAGGGGTGTTGATAATATCTTTCTGTTCTTGTGTGTAATGATGTGTCTTTTTCAACATTTTCATATTCAGCAAGGACAACTCAATCAAAACCAGCTGGGCAGACTTTTCTTATAGATCCGTAATTATAGCGGCATCTTTCATCGAATTTAATGGCCCTAGCGATTTCTGGACTTGCGCAGTTGTGAAACAGTTACATTTGGCAGCTGTAATCATTTCAATCCTAAAGGCACAATGTTACTCAGCTGATTACAATTAACGATGCCAATCGTTTATGGATTTGTCTTCACCAGTTCCAAGCAATAAACCCTGCAGATTCTAGAAGGGTATCATAACGGTCAATAACTTACATTAACAAAAAATGTAATGCACAAGTTACTCACATAATTTACTTGGGCACACCGGGTTTCCTAGATTGACTGTGTAATCACACTCTTGGTCCTTTTTTTCAGGGCAGTCTTGTATCGTCCACATCTACATCAAGAAGATCATTGAGCAGTACTCAGACAGTGCTGGTCTCACAAGTCCTGGTAGGTATTGATTGAAGTTGCACATGACAATAAGAGAAAGATCCGGACTTTGATGAGTATGTATTCCATGTCCATAGCACAGTTTTATAGGGTCAACACACTATACATCTGATTAAAACAGCATTACTCGACAAGGATATGAATTATTTGTTACAGTTCCTTTAACCCATTCGCTCCTGGAGATTTTGCCCAAAAACGCGTTTTGAAGCTAGTCGAGTGGTTTTCTGGTCACTGTCGTGCTATAAAGAGCTAAAACTTACCACAAACCGGTTTACAGGTTGTACACTTGGCGGCCTTCTGATCCAGATGCAAAATATCAGCTTGCGAAGTTCGGGCATGCGCAGAAAGCAAAATTTCGAGTTTTTGGGTTTAAAAGTGACACAGCAGTCTTGACTTTTACTTTTCGCTTTCTCTCCTCCCTTCTTTTTTCGCTTTTCTTGCCTCATTTTTTTTTTCTCTTGCTGGGCATTTAGTAGGCTTCATTTTGGTGGGAAGAGTTTTTAGGAAAGCTTTTAGGATCTTAGGATTAGGTGAAAAGAAAGGTAGGTGGGTAATGGAACAAGATTTTCATGGAGATTTTCAGGTCCTTGTCACGTGGTTTTTTGCTTCTTTCTCCGGAGTCCTTGACTGAATTGTGCTCATTCTGGTATGGTTTGAAAGGTCTCTTCACTCTGCACAAGTTAGCGAAGAAAGTTGTCCTTGACCGTTAAAACTGATGACGTCACAAAGGGTAGAAAGGACCTGGATCCGCACGGGCGGTTACGGGCGGTTCAGGGGCGAATGGGTTAATAGTGTTATGATGACCCCACATGCTCAAACAGATGTCCTGTTAATATTAGAGCAAGACCATTTCAAAATGTATGTTGCAATAACGTTTGAAATTGAACCTGCTGAAAATTCATTTTGCTTGCCCTTAAATTTAGTCCATGCATTAACACAACTGTAGACGTGCCCTTGATGACATCACGAAAAGTGAATCACTTGCTAGCAAGAAGTGCATGTGGCTTACCTTATTGCATTATTTAAGAAAAAACTGATCTTCGTCAGTGTAAGAGGTAAAATCCCTTTTTCTATTTACAGGATTATGAACCCCTGAGGAGAGGGAGGAGTACCTCCGCAACATTCCCAGTGCCTACAATTTTAGATTGCAAGCGCCCCTCAAGAACATCACAACCCAGGAGGAGGCTGAGGAGATGTATGCAGATGAATTTCGTTTATTTGTGGATAACTATGAGCCCTTGAAAAAGGCACGAGGTACGTTAAGAATGGCCACCCTCCATCAATAAATTTGTGATTAATCTCGAAATCTCATGTACAATCCTCATCACCTTAAGTTGAGATAGCCTGGCGCAGCACCCGTATTGCATCAAACAGCACTGCTCCTGCGATCCAAAGTGTGCCGTTTTTGGCTTCTGTGATGCCAAGTCGCAGAAAACAATTCAGAGGGGGGCAGAGAATATCGCTACTGTCCCAAATAATGTGACCGGTTTGCTGTGTTTTGACCATCAAACCTTTAAAAATAACGATGCAAATCAGTTAATTCATTCAGGACATGTTTCGCTCAAATTTGATGGCTTTGTATGGAGATGCTATATTTGTGTCCCTTTTAGGAACACCCATATGGCCGAAGGGAACCAACACAACAATCCACTCTCAAGTTTTCAAACTTTTGCGTTAATTTATCGCTTGAGCGACTCATAAAGTTTAAATTCCATAGAAACACAATGAATGACGGTAGGGCAATAAGTAAAAAACTCAGTAATGGTTTTAACCCACGTCATAGGAGCTGTCACAGTGGCCAACAGCGAGCAAATGAGGTTGTTGGGTGCTTCTTTACCTCATCATGAACGAAGAAACTTGGAAGAACCGATAGTTTATCAGTTTCAATTTTGTTGGAGTCGATCGTGTGAAAACGTCTTTTTACAATATTATTAATCATTGCTTGTCAGAGTTAAAAGGACACAGTCCCTTCATCAGCAGTGTCATCATCGATGTACTGATCTCCACTAAATTTGTTTTGCAGAAGACAACAAGGCGCAAAGTACAATAACAAAGCTCACGCAACACGCCACCAGAGATTTCTGTCGGAAAAAAATGACGAGCCCCACGACGCCAGAAAGCAAGAGCCACCTGCTCCACCTAAGGAGGTAAATGTTAGCAAGTTGAAAGGGCAAGTCATACACAGCTGGACTTTTCTTACCTTTACTCCGCCTTATGATAATAATAATAAATGTGCTTCTACCCCTAAAAATGGAAAGGACTTTTACGGCTATGCGTTCAAAACTCTACTAAGTACTAGTTAGAGACTTCCCTAGGTCTCCTGGGATAAATGGACAAAATGTCGGAATTCTTACGTCGGTGCATTATATTCTCATTCGTTGGTTCATTGCAAAGGAAACCTGTAAATCACCAACAAAGCCAGAAATTGGTGAGTTTGCCTTTTGGTCGAGGGTCGAGGGTAACTAGTCGAGGGTCGAGGGTAAATGGTCGAGGGTCGAAAAATCCTCCACAATTATTTTTGAACGTCGTTTACTGCCTGTAAGACAAAAACATGGAAAACTCAACGATGACAACGTAATAAACACAACTTGTCAAATGCCGCATTCACAGACTTCACAGGCTGGCAAACAACTATAGCAAATACTAACAATTCCGATTGCTCCGGAAAACGAAACTTGAAACTGCAAATATCACGCAACTGAATAAGCATGACAATGAGCTTTATCGACTCAGTTAAAAAGTTAATTGGTTACTCCTAATATGTAGTTCCAGAGAAATAAAGCTTAAGCTGAAGTGGTGTATCGCCAAAAATTTTAACAAACCTTGGTACAAGAAGTACCGTTGTTTTGCCTCTTCCTTGTGAAATTTCGAAATACCGCAGGCGTGCGGCAATTACACCCATTCAATTAAAAGCCTACTTAAAAAAAATATTCAGGCTGTTAAGTGGGGACTCTGTAAAGTGCGGATCCGGACGGCGGATCCGGACGGCGGATGCGGACGGCGGACGGCGGACGGCGGACGGCGGACGGCGGACAATAATAATTTTAAAAAATAAAAATTAATAAAATAGACGTAAATAATAAATAATGAGAAAAAAAAAGACTGAATAATGAGAAAAAGATGTAAATTTTTGTAAACTTTAGAGAAATAAGAAATATTCACTAGCAACCCGGAGTGCTCTTGTGTGTATCAACTGTTGGTGTTCCAAAAATCATTTTCTTTCTTCTATCCCTTCTTTAAACCTCTTCAAATTCCATTTAAATTCAGCTATCTATTTATTTTAGTTATTCTTTAGAGGAATGACTTAAAGGGGCTATGTCGCGAGGTTTCGCCTAATTTTAGTAACTTTAATTTACACTTTTATCTGTCAAAATTCTTTTGTCCACTGATACGAAAGGAACCAGGACTCGAAACGGAACCAGTGGCCACGTACACAAGAGCTATTGCTTTATTTTTATTTAAGTCCAACAATTTCATCGCTCTTTTCTCAAGCGAAACAAAATCAAAAAAAAATGTTAGGTTTGTCTGTGGCGGTAAAGAAGTACAAAGCGAAGACTCTGGTACCATGTTAATATGCTGCAGCGTACTATATTTAGTCAACAGAGGAGAAGAACCTTCGTCCAACAAACAAACAAAACTTTATTAAGACGTATCCATGTTCAACAGATTTCTATCGCTACTCGTACATATTGAGATATTTAGCCGTCCGTTTTCAGAATCGGAAAAATAACCGGGCCAATGGTGTTGCACTATATACGTACAATACATAACAATTCACGGAAGGGCATAAACTGGAAACATTTTACTGAGAAAGTCAAGCTGTTGATCGGTTAGCGAAGAACGTATAAACCATGGCATGCTACAATGAGAGAAATATGGCTGTTTAGCCCTAATACAGGCACCACTACAATGAAAATATACATTGCTTTGCTTGCTCCTCATTTGCCCTCCGTGCTGGAAGCTTCGCATCATGTTGGAGGCTACGACTAGATCATGAGGAGGAAGCGGAATCTGCCCTCCCGGTTTAAGGGTGTTAGAACACCCATAACATATGCTCACTTGAGGTGGGCAGAACTTTAAGGGATAAACAATAAACTGCCCTGGCAGTGGGGATGGATATGGAACCCGCCCAAGCGCATTTGAAGGACTTAAAGGAAATGTCAGGGGCAGCTCTGACGGTTGCGAAACCACTGGTTGCGGAGCTGCGAAGGACGGAGCTGCGAAGGGTGGTGGCGCTGCAGATGGAGAGGGTGGAGGCGCTTTGTAGGCTGGTGGCACTGCGGTGGGAGGTAGTACAGGAGAGGGCGTCGGCGCTGCGGAGGGTGATGGAGCTTGCTCACTGGCACTTGGTCGAGGCACAATGTTGACAGCTTGCCCTCTACCACCTTTCCTACGCGACGTTGAAGGTCTCTGGGATTTTTGCCAACTGTTGGCGCGCTGTCACAGGTGACGTAACTCGTTGTAGTTAAGGTGTGGCTGCTTCTCTTAAACCAAGTGAGATAATTCTGTAATTTACCGCACTTCTCTGCCACGGCTAAAGAATGTGCACATATTTTTGTAGACTTATAACGAGGACAGTCCTCGCATGTCACCTTCCCACTTTCTGCTAGTACAACATAATGTGGCCTTCCTTGTCGCTTTCAACCATAAACGTATGGGGCTTAAAAGGTATTTCCACAATGGAATCTTTCTTGAGGAGAAGAATGGATGCTTGCCGGTACATCTCTTTTAGGGAAAGAAGAGCTACACCAGCTGCACCTGACTCCTCTGGTCTTACAGACAGCTCTGGAGGGCTGGTAGGGAAGTGTTCTCTTCCTTGTCATCGTTTACATTACCACTGTCATCCTGCACATCAACATTTCTTCCAGGTACTTCTTCCCAGAACTTTTTCAAATGCCTTTCACGCTGACGAGCATTCAGGGAAAACCACTTGTCAGGAGACATTTGTAAGTGAAGGTAGTCGTCTGTGAGAGCATATGGACCTCTGTTTATTACGGCTGATTCACAGTCCCGTCGCTGCTGCTGAATTACTTTCTCCATCTTGTCGTTAAATTGTGACATTTCATTCTTTTGAAAGTCTACTCCCATTTTAATAATTTTATTTGCTGATTCTGGCATGTTGTTATAATATGCTTCTGGAGGATTTCCTAGGCCTGCATTCAACCGAATGGGGCGCAACATGTTGTCTTGGATCATTTTTCCTGAAATAAAATGAGACAATGTTGTCCTTTAATTTAATAGCATAAGGCGTAAATTCTCTACATTTTCCATAACTATACATAAAACAAGGATTGTCGTACTTCAAAACGTTTTTTTTTTTTAAAGTACAAGTCAAGCTCGTGATTACGTTAAAAAGTTCCAAGTTCCGGAAAACGCAATAACAAAGGGATCTCTAGCTGGCTGGTTTAGAAATGAAAGGCCAGATGTCCGATTTCAATTGCAATTTGTGTCATTGGCCAACTGTTACTTACATAGCACCTCCAGTAAAATGAAGGTCTTGCATAAATATAAGAATATTGAATGAAACCGTTGCTATATGAACCGCGCATGTTATTACAAATGGCGATGACATAAATTCTCCATATTCCACACAGAAAACCGTGTGGCATGAAATTTGCGCGCAATCTAACTTTCGCGAATTTTGCGGGGTTTCCAGCGTTTCACGAAATGTGATATCGTAAAAATAAACTCCGGCCATAAAAGCTGAATTTAAATTTGAATTGAAAACATTACCAACATTACAATTACAACAAATAGGGAAGAGTCTCTGCGGTTTCTGAATAAATTTGATAAATCGAGTTGATATATTTGTTACCAGAAACCCAAATTACCAAAATTAAACTCCCGCAATTCAAACATTTCCTAAGTACATGAACTGCTGTCACCTTTTCCGAGATATATTTGTGAAATGAAGGTTGCTTTCCAGCAGGCAGATGGGCCTTTTTCTCGCTCATCCCACACGTCCTTTAGTGACACCAACTGAGCTTGAAAGTCAGCTTCTGTCTCGCAATCCAAAAGACCTTTATCAGTGAGAAACGAAATAAAGTTTAGGATTTTCCTGCAACCTCGTTCCCATGGCCCTTTCTTTCCCTTTCTCATAGAGGGAGGGGGATCTGATATAGTGAAAGAGTACACGCAAACTTATACCCCCACCGTGGACCGTACAAGGGGAGGAGAAAAGGGAAAAGGGGAGAGGGGGGTGGTTGCAACCCCTCCCTGGGTTTTTGCAGTGTTACTATATTTGGGAAATATTTTATCTAAAAGATAAGGAAATTATTAAGGGTTATGGCGCTGCTGGGGTCCGTGACGTTATCTTGGATTTTACTAAAATCGGAAATTGAAAATATCTTTGGCTAGAGTTGTAAAACTCACTGAAAAAAAAAGGTTAAAAATATGCATTTTTAAATATGGCTTGCTTATGCTTATGACGTCATATCTTGTTGCCATATAAACCGATTGTGTCTCACAGATAAACGAACAGCTAGTAATGACGGCACGGACTAACAACAAAATTGTCTTGAAATCATCCTCCCCCTTGTACGTTCGAGGGTTAACTTACCAGCTTCCATGCTACCATTTTCAAGCCTGCGTCCAAACACGTCATCCAGGAACTCCTTTTGAACTTCTCGTGGGAGGGCGCGCAGCTGTTCTTTACAGTTGTCCCTGAAATGCCCAAAGCATCTTAAGTGGATGCCGTGGTACATGTTGCGTTCCATTGCTTTGAAAAGAGGCTCTTCACCATCCGTACCGAAGGCCAGTACGTTTCCAATATCTTTGTTTAAGCTAACCAGTTTGGAAAAGAAGTAGTTATAGGCGTCATACGTCTTTGTTTGGTGCATGAATAGGGGACCAATCATCACAGGATGCCTGCGCGTTTTACGATCAACCACTAACAAGTTGGTATATGTGGTTACAGTCACGTTAAACTTCCCAAGGTTGAACGTTGGGTCAGCGCCTAGGATCCCGAAGCTGCTAGGATTTGTACAAAACCTCACTATGTCAGCAAGCTGGTCGTCGTAACACATGACGCAGCGTAACTCTGGTGCGCAAGAAACTTCACGAACAAAGGCGGTTTTGGGGTTTGCTAACTGCTGTCTTTTACACTGCTCCAGCAATATCACTAAGGAGTCAACGTGGTCCTTTTTTTCTGACGAGCCTCGCCTTAAATAACTGGCTTGGTCTCTGTTCCTTGGCAGGTCAGATAGGCAATCTACGTTCATGATACCACCGACCATCTCCTCAACCTGATGATATGCTGCTTTAGGTTTCTGATCTTTTACTGCGGAACGTAGGTTCGCGATAA